AAACTAACACCAGTAATTTCACAAATCTGTTTTATGGTTTGTGGGTTTTCATGATCAGCTGTATCCATTGGCTTTTCTACAAGAAAACAGACATAACTCAATTGCACAGATAAGTGGKYCTAACWCAGTAGTATTCCTAGTCAGACTCCAACTTAAATTCCCAAACATAATTGTTCTTTTTTACTTGGATTGTGGAGGTTGTGCTACAACAGTCAAACTTCTAGTCAATGCTGTAGTAAGTGGACAAAGAATTTCTGATTATAGTAGTTCCAGTTTAGCAAATTTAGATTTCATTCATTTTGTTGTTTTTAAAATTTCCATTGATTCYGAACAAATAAGAGAAATTGATTTAACATGGGCTCAAAATGTTAAGTGAGTTGCCTTGATACGTTGCTAATAATCAAAAGCAAAAGAAATCAAATTACGCTGTAATTCTTAATACCCCATATTATACCACCAAAAATGACAAAATATTCCACGCATTACGCTGTAGTAAAACTACAAATCGAATAATTTTTGACAATTGTCATTTTCTGTTTTAGAGTAAAATTGGTAAAATCGAAATATTTTTTCCTGAAGGTCCATAATCTATTTTAATTAAACACTGATCAAAAATATAAAGTAATTCGATTTCACGTGAAGTAAGCTTAAACTATTCTACTATGAAACGAATGTCTGATCTGACAATAAGAACGAACATACGGACGTCAGATAATATATTGAAAAAAATAATCTAAGATTCAACAAACCTTGTCCACAGAGTGAAGATGTTCTTTTATCATGGCTTACGTTATGTACTTGGTAATTTTTGCTGTGGGCCATCTATTTCAGGCCCAAAAAGCCGGTTTTCCAGAATTTCTAACACAACATGGCAGCCATTTTTCCCCGGAACGACATAACATCCAGCGTGCAGTTCGGCACTGCTATTTTCCAGTCTCAATCATCAAAAATATGCTACAGGTAGCCCATTCAGATGATATGTTCAGATAAGCAGATGAATATTGTTTTCTACATGTTCATATAATTATTTTTAATGCAGGAAATACACCAATCTATTCTTGTGCTTCTGCTTTCGAGTTATACAAAAGACGAGGAACTTCTTAATRGTAAATGCCAGTTTCGCATTATTTTCATTCCAATCACAAATCYTTACCCTAGAGCAGGGACAGCAATGACTTTTCTCATACTCATTAATTATTCATGAGGTATCCAGCCAATCCCTGATTGTAATTTGTACCACATGAAGTAACTTGAAACCAGAGGAAGTGGGTYGTACCTTGTATTCTACCTTATTTCCAGTTACTTCTACCTTTTTCAAGTTACTTCCACATTATTTCCAGCTATTTCTACCTTATTTCCAGTTACTTCTACCATGTTTCCAACTACTACTAGCTAATGATAATCAAAGTATTAGAAATAATCAGTTTAATATCAATTTAGTGAAAAAAGGTCTTTGATACGTGACTCCCTCACGACTCGATCCTCTACCGTCCAGTCTATATGCGCCGTCTTATACCATTACACGTGACCACCGAGTTTCTGATGCGATTCCTCAGAAGATAACATACTTATAAATCTTATGGATTAGGCTCATTAGGAATGCCATGAATAGCAGACAAAGACAACTTGAATAGCTTTTGTTTCACAAAGCCGTCAGGGAATTGAAGAACAACAAACGGTGCTTCATGTATTCAAAATTATGAAAACTGAAAACCTTAGTGTGGAGATGCAATAAATCAATATATTTCTGTTATATGTATTTCCTTCGCTTTTTTCCCCTCCCAAATAATTAATTCAAGTCCGCGCAATGAGTTCCAGTCCTCGGCTAACGCCTCGGACTGGAACTAATTGCACGGACTTGAAATCCCGTCCAGTCCTCATTGTCGGACTTTAAACATTACTTCTAATATGCAAAATATTTATTGAAATCATTATTTTTTCTGGCTCACTGCAATTCTTATTTTTTGAAGGAGATGGAGAAGTATGGGCATTTCTCACCATTGYCATAAATCTACACTCCATGATTAGTATTTGTTAATGTGTTTTTGGAGGTTCATATCATGATGACTTATTAAATGATAAAGACAATCCTAAAATAGTACGTTTTTGAACTATATCTTGATTATATTTAATATTTTTACAATATTATTACAGTATTTTATTTACAGAGTGAGAAATTTACACAAAATATTAGAAAATGTACAGTGAACCATCAGCAGGTCCAATGTAACCAATGGCAACCAAGACAAGATCTACTAGAGTCCATACCCCAAGCCCACCAAAACTGAAAAGTTTCCCAAGTCCTTCTTTCCAATGGCCAAGATAGAAACGATCCACTCCAAATCCACCAAGTGTTAGGCTGTTCAAAAATATAGAAACATGATAGAGAGATGTCCAATGGGCATGATGATTGAACAGACAATTGAAAGATTGCTGTGAGTCAGTCATAATTAAATAGCTAGTCGTATGCAATTTGTGAATGTAGAGGGAAGTTGATACCTCAATAACACTGCAGTAGACCACCGATAGCCAGATGTCCAGTTACATGGTAAAAACTTATGAAATGTTCTATTACCTGAAAATATAGCAATATATAACATATTTTAAAAGCTTTTTAACTCACCTTGACAATATAGCTACAAACTATTCTCAGACTTATAAACACTCACCAAGACATATGATGTCTTCATCAACTGTACAGTTTGTTTTATACCTTGGAGGAGGACTAGTTCCTGATATCACCTGAAATGAAGGAAAAGGTTCATGTATACTCATCCATATGTGATGTCATAGAGCATGTATCTATGGAGACTACAATATACCTTGCAGTTAGTCTTGTACAAGCACTTGTAATTCTCCTTGGGTACTTGGTAACAATATCTACAATTCATTGTCCTTGTAAAATTTTTCTGTCCCTAAAAATTAGACAAATGTAAAGACAACAAAAGCTAGACGTTGGAGAAAACAAAAATATTTGTGGAAAAAAAATCAAGAGAAGCTTAAAACAACAAAGTCCTCCCTATTCAGCGTTGTATGAAAACCYAATTCGAAACAAATTCCATTATCATTGTCTTTTTAAATGCATGGTTAAAGGTTACCTCACATAAACAATTTTCTAAGGCTTTGCATTGTACTTGAACATCTTTGCCATATTCGCAAGATTCGTCGARGTCACAGTCAATACATGAAGCTCCCAGCTTGTTGCAAGAACGATTGATATCTTCTGCATTGATTTGTAATACGTTTACGACGACGTTTAATAAGAGTGCGAATTGCACAAGAAAACACCAATTTACTTCCTTTATGATGTCCGCCATTTTTGTTTTGCAGCGAATAAGGTAAAAGGAGGAGGACTGGTAATGAATACTCAACCCACTTACCCTCTGCTCCCTCGACACCATTTTGCTTATAAGCACGTGATCATTGTATCATTTCCAAGATGGTGGGTACCTTTTTTCTCTTTTAGTCTTGTATTATTTTAATTTCCTTCTCTATGTCTTAACAATTCTTCACATATTTTTCTTCTCATCTCAGGCGGGTGCCATGAATTTAGCGCAGAAAACCAAGAAGATACAAGATGAGGAGAATGAAGCCAAGTTTGGATACGTCTTCGGCGTCTCTGGACCCGGTTAGTTCGAAATTTATATGTCATTTTATTGCCAAGATATTTCAGTGTTGAASTTTTTTTTGAAGTGCTTTTTGGATTTTGTATTGTTACTTTCAGTGGTTATTGCGGAAAATATGAGCGGTGCTGCCATGTACGAGTTGGTGAGTACCATGTTGTGTTCTGAAGGAATGAAGAATCATTGATCACATGATGTTGATCAATGACATTTAGTAACATCGATCGATCCTTCGATTCTAGGAATTCTCGTATAGATACATTGATTTCTTGAAATTTTTTCCCCTTCTGATGAGGAGACGATTACAAACGTGAAGCAAATGCATAGTTCTGACTCTTACTATGCATAATTAATGAGTGATGTATTCGGAAATTGAAATGTAAAATTGAGAATTAATTTGATTTTTTCCCCAAAATTATTATAACAAACATTTCAAAATCGGTATTTTTCTTTACTTGAAAATCATAGTTATCATTGACCATTATTTAATTGCTAAAAGCAGTGTATTTGTACACTTTACAAATTGAACTACATGTATAATAATTGGAATGATTAAGTGGTGTAATAATTGTCAAATGAATTAATTTATTCAAGTGGAAAGAATTAGGAATATTTAATGGTTATAGAATAATTTTTTATTTGTGCAGGTGCGTGTGGGATACAGTGAGTTAGTAGGAGAGATTATTAGGCTAGAAGGAGACATGGCAACTATTCAAGTATATGAGGAAACTTGTATCCTAATTTGTTTACATAATGTTTGACCTTATATAACTATACTGTATGTGTTATRTGAATGCATATATAGATAGATCATGTGATATTTCCTCATTAACAATTTTCTATAAATCAGTTCAGCTCTCACTAATTATTATTGAATGAAGACATCAAAGTACACTGTATCTAGATCTTTTTCTTCCTCAGTGTATCTTGATGATTTGGTTAACTGTCATCATGTTACTGAACATTGCTTATTGAATGCGGTAACTACTTACAGCGCAATGTGTAAAAGTGTGGCGGGCATTATTGTATTTGCATACTTTTTTAGGATTGTTATCTTGTCTGGCATCAAGATGCTAATTGGATTGATGGCAATTAAGACATAAGTATGYGCAATATAAGTAACCACCATTTTATGCATTGCCTTGTAATTACTTTAATTAATTAATTACATTAATTTTTTTTCATTGATAATAATTCCTTGACCAATGGTCTCTAGCTGGTGTTACTGTTGGTGATCCTGTGTTAAGGACTGGTAAACCATTGTCAGTAGAACTTGGCCCTGGTAAGAAACATTGAAATTAAACTGTAGAAGGACAATCAATATTATTGGTTATTTATTAATCCCTGATATCTTGCTAGGTATCATGGGAAGTATTTTTGATGGTATTCAAAGACCGCTAAAGGTAGGCTGGTTGCAGTTGAAATGGCAACAAAATAGTAAAATAAAATCTCTGAAAGGTTTACTTAATTGTCTGATAAATGTTTAAGATAGATAGAAAAATATACTTTGTGTTATTGTTGGTTGTTTTTCATATTTTATACAAAGTKGGAGCATGAGCATAACACATAACAGCCTTTGATATAAAGATGTTTATGTTTACCAGGATATTAGTGATATCACCCAGAGTATTTATATCCCACGTGGAGTTAATACTGATGCCCTTAGTAAAACAGTTCAATGGGAATTTAATCCTCAAGGTTTCAAGGTACCATTGCAATCTTATTTCATGAAATTTAATATTGAGAAAACTGCAAATATTCTTGTCATCATTGTTGGTTCATTTTGATGACAGGTTGGGGATCACATCACCAGTGGAGATATATATGGTTCTGTTCATGAGAATACTTTTATCACCCACAACATTATGCTTCATCCTAAAGCAAGAGGAACTGTAACCTATATCGCACCTCCAGGCAACTACACTATTACTGTAAGCTAAATGTTATTCTAAAATTAGTGCTGAATATTGCAAAACGAAGACAACAAAAATGTATAATTTAAATGTATTTCAGGATACTATCTTAGAAACAGAATTTGATGGAGAGAAATCAAAACATACAATGTTGCAGGTAAGAAGCACAAAATATTTTTGTCACATTACCAAAGATTTTCATTTTCAACTTTCTCTAAGTAAAAATTAATGAAAACAAATGAAAAGAGAAATATTGTGCTCAAGTTCAACCATTATTTGTTGGGTTCTCTAGGTTGTTGACCAAAATTTATAAGTGTTTAAAATTAGTTTTCTCATATATTAATGTTAACATTATACATAGAGTTTTTTAAGAAGTCATTCCAAAGTAGTTTTATAAAGTTTCTTTTTGTATTTTTTCTTTATTTGGGTCAACATTTATTGTAAACACTTGCATATCTTTTATTAAACAGATTTGGCCTGTGCGTCAAATGAGACCAGTGACTGAGAAACTGGCAGCAAACAATCCTCTTCTGACAGGGCAGAGAGTATTAGATGCTCTGTTCCCGTAAGTAAATAAATTGATAGTTGTTATTTTTTGACAATAACAACATTTTTTTTATGCTTACATAAAAGATTGACTGAAATAATGATTTAATTGTAGGTGTGTTCAGGGAGGCACTACGGCTATCCCTGGAGCCTTTGGATGTGGTAAAACGGTCATCTCCCAATCATTGTCCAAATACTCGAATTCAGATGTCATTATTTATGTGGGATGTGGAGAAAGAGGGAATGAAATGTCTGAAGTACTAAGAGATTTCCCTGAGGTATGTTGACCAATGTTGTAATAAATTCTACAGATTATAGGTAAATATATTGTTTACCTGGTTTTGTGTAGCTGACTGTAGAAATTAATGGTCAAGTTGAATCAATTATGAAGAGAACAGCATTGGTAGCCAACACATCTAACATGCCTGTAGCTGCAAGAGAAGCTTCAATCTACACAGGTAACAACCACAATTATACAACATCTATTATTCCATCAAGACTATAAGACTATATAATATTTTTAGTTTATATCACTTTTTACCTCAGTTTTATGATTTGGTTTCTAAAATTTGACAGCTGTTCTTGGTTTTGATATTTTTGCTTCTTTTTCAGGCATTACTTTGTCTGAATATTTCCGTGATATGGGTAAGAATGTCAGTATGATGGCTGATTCCACATCTCGATGGGCTGAAGCTCTTCGTGAAATCTCAGGTCGTCTGGCTGAGATGCCTGCAGGTATTTACCAAACTGTTCATCTATTAAATGAAATGTAAATTGGTTATTGTATACAAATACTCACTGAGGGCATTTACTTGTTTTACAGACAGTGGTTATCCAGCTTATCTTGGAGCTCGTCTTGCTTCTTTCTATGAAAGAGCTGGCCGTGTACAATGTATTGGAAATCCACAGAGGGAGGGTAGTGTAACAATTGTTGGTGCTGTGTCTCCCCCTGGCGGTGACTTCTCAGATCCTGTTACATCAGCCACTCTTGGTATAGTCCAGGTAGAGACCTTACTGTCATATATTATCATCCTCAAGTTTTCAAATCTTACTTGTCATTACATTTGTCTTCATTATCACTTGCAAAAATATTATTATCGATATTAATATCGATATTGTCTTGATTTCAGGTGTTCTGGGGATTGGATAAGAAGCTTGCCCAACGTAAACATTTTCCTTCCATCAACTGGCTAATAAGTTATAGCAAGTACATGAGATCACTAGACGACTTCTATGAGAAAAACTATCCTGACTTTGTAGCTCTTAGAACAAAGGTAGAACTTAGTTGTCAATTCACTGCACTGCTTTTACCATAGGTCGTGCACTGATTTGTTTTTGATTGGAGAAAATTTAAATTAACTTTTACAGGTGAAACAAATCTTACAAGAAGAGGAAGATTTATCTGAAATTGTGCAGCTTGTTGGCAAGGTGTGTTTTGCATCCATTAGAAGTCACTAGTATTCCAAGGCTRATTGTATTTCATTTGTTTGGCAGGGCTCCTTAGCTGAATCAGATAAAATTACTCTTGAAGTTGCCAAGCTTATTAAAGATGACTTTCTACAGCAGAACGGCTACACGCCGTACGATCGCTTCTGTCCTTTCTATAAGACTGTAGGCATGCTGTCCAACATAGTACTATTTTATGATCAAGCAAGACACGCCGTAGAAACCACCGCGCAATCTGACAATAAAGTTACTTGGGCTGTAATTAAAGAAAATATGGGCAACTTGATCTACTCCCTTAGCTCCATGAAGTTCAAGGTATTAGCATGAACACTGAAAGTATTCATTGCCGATTCTTTGATTTGTGAATATTTTATTTGTTGATAGGACCCTGTGAAAGACGGAGAAGCGAAGATTAGAGCTGATTTCAATGAATTAGCGGAACAAATTCAACAGGGATTCCGTTCACTAGAAGATTAATTATGTCTTGTCACGCAAGATTCATTCTTTGTCATGTACTATATATGTCACGCTATAGACGTGTCACGCATGTATTTCTACAGGGGATAATTAAAACCTAAGGGAGGGGAGTTTCCATCCCTCAGGTATTAGATTCGTTCATTTGGAGGAATGGGGATAATTTTAATACGTGATATCTAATGCTTTATATCCGTTACTGTAATTGAAAAATCGTTTAGTAAATGTCTGKATGTTTGTGTACCGTGGAGAAAACTCTGCGACCTTTTTGTAGAATCATTTTATGGAATGAACGTCTTACAATATGAATAAAGAAAATTATCGCTTTATATTTATTTTATTTGCGTAAAAACAATTTCCTACTTAGAAAGTGTTGCCTGCGTACATATKGCTGGATGAAACTCGGACGGTAGAAAATTATCCTGAAATAAGAATTTTCATGCCCCTATATTCGGTCGAAAACGTTCATTAGCCAAAAATCTCTCGCGTCTTCTATTATAAACATATTTTGGCACAAAACGCATTCAATCAATTATACAATAACAAGTAGCAATTTATTKCTACTTTAAACATTTTGAAGATGTGTCTTCAAAAATCCTCAAATTTATGTGAGAAAATCGACTGAGGAATTGTTTTGAAACAAGGTTCTGACAAGGTTCTGACAGCTTGACCATTTTCATGTATTATTAAGGAGCTTTCGCTTTCTTTAATAGTTAAATATGCTAACCAGAGAAATGAAAAATGAATAAAAGAACGCTAAAGGATTTGAAAGAAAGTCGACAATGGCATTATTGTAAAGGTAAGGAGTGACCACTGGGCGGTACGTGATTGGATGTTATGAGGAKCCTCGTTTATCACTAATTACCTTGTATTCGGATTTTCTCGTTCAGAGATCGTGATGCAAAGCAAACTATTGCCTTGTGATGTCGCTTGTGCATGTACTAAAGAGTTTTTTTCATTCTTTATTTCTTACTGCTAAGCTTTTATTTTTTTCCAATTTGAGTTAGCTACTCTGATGTTCTTTTCGTTTTATTTTAATTTTTTCTGTTTTTTGCATATGAAAAACCCTAAGACCTAAAAAGTCGTTTTTGCCGGTGGTTTCATTGATGACGTATTTGAGAAATTGCCGTTGCACATTCATACTAATCTGAGTTGACAACCATTCTATTGAACTGGCAACTGAACTAACTTCAGGCTACCATGATAGGAGCCGTTATCCGGTTTGAATCTCTTGCATTGAGTGCAGTAAACGTTTTGAAACTTCCCAACAACTTGCGAGAAAAGATTTTTCCTCTAGATCATTTTTTCACTTTTTCCCATTTAGTCAGTTCTAGAATGGCAAATCTAGTTTGTCAGTTTTTATCTTTCGGCATCGAAATCTAATCGATGATTCTTTATTCAACGTTATTGATGTTCGTTCTTAATTGATGTGCTAATTTTTACAGATGTTTGTTTTATGTAAACTACGGACAAACCTTACATTGCTACCCCAGGATATCGCTGTTCATTCTCCACGCAACACAACTGTAAGCCCACAATTAATAAGTTTTATTCCAAAAATTTCGCTTGTTTTAAAACGCAAATGAATCATTGGTGGTCAGCCATTTTATAACTGGTCAATCAATGGAAATAACACTACTAACAGGTATGTGGGTGAAATATTAAAATTAGCTCAACGAAAACAATTCGTGAATTTAATTGCCAATGCAAGGTAACTTTTTTGAATATGAAAATATGACATTTAAGAAGTCCTGCTGATCAGTCTATGTGATACATAATAGCGGTTGCAATGGTAGGGGTTTGTGAGACAAATTCTTATTAGCCACAAACTCATTAAACAATAAAGCGATTTAGCCTTTGAGTGAGCATATTGTCACAAAACGGAAAGTTCACACGGAAGAGACGTTTTTAATKTGCTGATGGTGGAAAGTCGAAAAGTATTGGCAACTTTTACTGTTAGTTTTCAGAATGAATCGCAATATGTACATTTAAATCACGATAAAAGTTGTGATTGCATCCTTCTGATTTCAGCAATGACAAAAGGGAGGGTTGATTCACTTTATGTCAAGATTGTCCTGGCAATATTTGCTGGATTCTCATCCAACACGTTWAGCGTTGAGGGACAACCATGTATACCCCAAGGTAGGTATTGTAACACTACAAAACCCATCAACTGTGCATGTGTTCGTTCCTTTTGAATTGAGCCATTAACTGACGAGCTTTAGTGAGCTGTAAATCAAAGAACACTAGGTTGAGATTTCTAAGACTTCAGTTTTCTTGTGAATTTAAGTATCTCTGGTTAAAAAACAAAAACGGATGCGATGCTGAAATCTGGTAGAATCCGACGTTCAATGCCCCCCGCATTCCTAATCACGTAAATGATATTTTTCAAATATACATATGAAATATAAAACGCCTGTCTGTCTGTATTTGTCCTTAGGCACATTTTTCAATGGTAAAAAAACAGGTGCACTGATTGATGTAAATCCGACGGACACAAACTGAATTACAAGACTTGTAGCTATTATACTAGTAATGCCAATGACTCAAAGCAGACTCTTACTGCTGTTATTTTGACAAATATATGCAAAGCACAAAATACTTCTATCAATCTTGGCATCTTAACTGTTTCTTAATCTCGCAACTCTAACCAGTCACTGATGGTTCCCTGTTCTGATTTCGATCACCATTTTAATGATTTTATCTTTAGTGGGAATRCTAAAAGTTCCACAAAATAATATCAAACCATATTTTAAACCTTATCACGTTTATCTCAGCAAGAATTAATGATATTGCTGGCAAGGAGTTCCAGTTTCACCAGAGAATTGCACCTGGCAGACAGCGAGGAAGAATCGGTACATTGCAATTTGCAGGCCTATGGATGCATAGCAAATGACTAGTTTTTCTACCTTAAATTATGGAATGATTTTTACGCTTTTCATACGATTGAAAAAAATAGCTACTGACACCAAGTTCACCTTCAAACCTTTAGCAGTACTGCATGTWGTTGATAGCTCGTATAAACCTGAATATTCACGTTATATGCGGTCAATATCCTTGGATAATGAAAAGCCTCATGCTACTTATATATACTTATACATTTTATTACGAATTTAGGATTTCTTGGCATTTGTCACTTTTTTGGCGATGTATGAGAACCAGCTCGGCTTTTAATCATTTTTGGGTAGCTGGATTCAGTCYGTCTTTATATATTTTTTAAGTCTGTAAATTGAGTTAATTATCTTGCACTCCATTGGGGTCCAAGGGTTACCTAGTGGTTATCGCGGTAGTTTTGAGTCGGTTCACGGTTTTTCCTTCTCCCAGCAAAAGCCATCTTTGCACATTGTACATGAGCATTGTAAGGCTAGTATGGGTGTGGCGAATATACCGTCATTATTCCAGTTACATTTTCATCCGCAGATTGATTGATTTTAAGTTTTCTGCTTTGGTAACTACAAAACAGTGTAAAAGACACAAACTCACTTAATTTAATGAATCATTTGCCACTCTATCACGTACCTCAACAGGCTGAACAGAAAAAATATAAAAATTATGACTCCACAAATGAACTTATATAGATGTCACCCACATTGAAAGGSAACTTTCATTTGCTTACTGATTTTAAGCTGATTAAGGCGAATAACTGAACAGTATGAGCTCAGTAGGATGATTTCATTTCACTTGACTTTGGTACCTCAGCAATGCACTGACTAGAACCACATCACATAGCATAATGGTCTCTCTCGGTAGTTTACATCTACATTCACATATCCTTCTTATAACAGAATGCATATTGAACATTTCAGTGCCAGCCCCCCAATTTGATAAGAAAAGAAAAAAATTTATTCATGCTTTGAAGAAGACAAACTACTGGGAAAGACGTTAATAATAGACTGAATGAATCATTGAAACATGGCAGGATAAAACAGCTAGACTAAATAGCACTAATAAGTATTTACAGTGTTTTTTTTGTCCATGGGACATCCAGGAATGAGAGCAAAAGTGTATAAGAAGTTATTTAATATTTGGTCATTCTCCATGTAGATGCCCACGGAGTCCAGCGTAAAGTATGGACGAACATAAAAGATGCATCATTTGTTTCCCTTAAGAACGACCCTCGTTATCCCGAAACTCCAACCACGACAGACTTCATCACAACTCTTGAGGCACCACGCCGATTTGAATCATTTTACGCRCAGACTTTGAGTGCCTACTTCATCGCACCCGAGACAGGAAATCACGTTTTCTATATGGCCTGCGATGACTATTGTCAACTGCAAGTCAGCGGCAATCACGATCCTAGAAATGTACAATTGGTGATCGACGTCAAGTACTACACAGACTACAGAGTTTGGGAAAGGTGAGTTATCATGGCAACGGCAACAAACACTAGGCCTCTGATTGATTAATGTTACAAATAATTAAATAATTTGAGAAGTGATTTCCATTGAAAAAGTGTGACGATAAGAAATCACACCAATAAGACTCCAACTCTAACTCCAACTCTTTTTTTTCGTTTTTTTTTTTCATTTAATCAAGTGAAGTTTAATAGCATTGCTTTCTGATTTTGATTCAATAGTGACGCAAACAAACCATCTCGACCGATCCCTATGGTGGCAGGTAAGCTGTACTATGTTCATGCTATCATGGTTCAAGAGGGAGGAAGCGAACATTTATCGATTGGTGTTCGATTACCAAGTGGTTTAAACAATCGACCAATGACAAGTAATCATCTACTAAAGTACCCCCTCAAAGGTATTTGCTTACTTTTCTGCTGCATCAATCAGGTTTATATGCTGTTGGTGATAATTCTGGGTGATCTTACTGCAATGCTGCCAATTTTGAAAAAATTAACTGGTTCAATTTTAATATAACGTAGATATCAATAACATGACGTCACTAGGGGCTTGGGGAGAATGGACACCGTGCAGTAAGTCTTGTGGAGAAGGAATGCAAACAAGGAGTCGGTTTTGTTTRCAGTCGTCTTTTATACATTCAGTTGAGAAGGAAAAATTCATCGAGAACAAAACAAGAATATGCCATTTTGAGATTCCATGTGCAAGTAAGAGAATAAAGTCAGATTTTTAATCAAAACTCTCGTACGGTTTTTTTCAACTCTGTCGAAGAACGACATTTAACTCTCTTTGTCTGTTTTCTAGCGCCACCACAGAAGATACTTGCACAAACGAATAACCACTCATCAGTCAGGATAACATGGCTGCCGTTTAACTTCAAACCGTCTGTTCTCTTGGGATACAGACTGACTTACCAATCAGTAACATCAGTAAGAACACGAAGACARGCGACATATAGTCACATGATTCGTGGATCGAACGAAGGTGGTGACGTCATTATTCCTCCTAGATACCAGTCCCTTTTACTTAGTGGCCTCCAGGCATCCACGAAGTACTGTATCCAAATGGTTACMATAACCAAATTCTGGAAAAGCCCGCCTAGTGAATGCGTGACTGTTACAACCGATGAATACAGTAAGTGAATTCTCATCTTGTACCATTTCCAGTCATTGCTTTTAACAAGTCTTTTTAAACTAGTTCCCAGTCTGCCTCCAGCAATTGTGACGGCTATGAACCGAACAGGCTTTGACAAAGCCTTGGTCACGTGGTCAAAAGTTCCTAAGAGGGGTCAAAATGGACGTATCCGAGGGTACTTAATTAGTATTCGTGCTTTGTCCAGTGGTAATATAGAACTCCATGAAAGTAAAAATTGGACGATATCCTTAAACTCTTCGTACATGTCAACAATGCTAACAGGTCTTGAATCTTATACTCTGTATGAAATACAAGTGGCAGCTTTCACGTCCAAGGGGACTGGTCCCTACTCTRAGCCTGTGTATATTGGTAGGTAATAATGTTTTAATACCTGTTKGCTAATGTAGTGTTTTCCGAGTGTTTTACAATTCATGATTTTAATATTTCCACAGAAACATGCCTCTGTCCACCAAAACTTCAAACCAATTGGTGGACACTTTTCCCTTTGCAAGAAACTAACTCACTTACTTCACAAGCTGAAGGAATATTTCCGAGATTAATCCGAAGCTTTATTGATTCCAAATGCGGCTGGTGTCGCAATAACACACGAACAATTGTTGATTTTTATGAAGTACAATCTAGTGGAAATGGTACAACGAAATTCGCACTCAAGATGAATCTAAGTGAAGTAATCAACAGCATAAGTTCTTCAGATATCAGCTTTCCTCTGAGTGTTACACACAAGAACACTTTGTATGGAGACGATGTTAAATTTGTTGAGGTTTTCAAACTGTCTAGTGGTGTTGTGTACATGAACAGGAGACTAACAGCTGAGGTTTATGCGTCGATGGTGGGTTCTTCAGTGTTTCAGTGCTGGCCCCTTCTGTTCCTCATAGTTGTAATGTCCATGTTATCTGGTATTATATTGTGTATATTGGTGAGTATAGTGACAAAGATACGCTTGTTTGAAAAAACGACGGCAAAACCCTCTCAAGGGCGCATCGAGGGGAGGGTCACGGAGTGCCCGTGACCCCCCTTTGAAAGACAAAAAGCGAAAAAACCATAGATTGATATGACATCATAATGACGTCCTATGACGTCACAGTGACAACTTGGTATGTAAGGACCCCCCCAATGAAAATCCTGKATACGCCTCTGCCTCTAAGAGTATCCGCCGACATCTAAGATCAAAAAGACTATCATATGAYCTGTATAGTCTTTATCATTAATTTAGAGCTATTTTTCAACAATAGGAAAGTATTTCGTATCCCGTTCGCACATGCTACAGGTCTTCGTTCTTGAAGGGTGTGTACGAGTACATTTGGTGTGCTTTTATTTCCATGACAACAGTAGGGTATGTCTTTGCACATCTACCACTTRTGCACTGATTTTTAGTTATTTATTGTCGATGTTGTCTTGTTAGGTATGGTGATCGTTATTCGAGGTCTATTCAAGGACGGATCTTCTCGATCATTTGGTTCTTAGTGGGGTCTATAATGACTTGTATCTTTGTTGCGTCGCTGGCCTCCTCTCTCTACGTCAATGTTGTCAACATTACAAAGAATCCTGAGCGAAAAGGAAAGGTAAGCACTCTTGGTCTACGTTTATGRTCGCGTTTAATATTTGATAATAATGGCGATCATAAAGCTAATGCACTAGTCAATTGAAACCCCTCACGGAACCCCTCGCCCCTAACTGAACGGGGACGTGACCCGTTTTTAACGTGCTTTTAACAGCAAGATTTCCCTGGGGGGGTCAGGATTTTGATGAATTGTTTTCGAAGCGGGGCAAAGGCGGGGATTTTAACGCGCATTTGAACATGTATAAGGCTGGAAACTAGAGGTCGGCCATCTTGAGAAATACCCTGAAGGCATTGGTATTCAAKCCCGCTTTTYTTATTTGTTTATTTTTCCTTGCATGAAAAAATTTTAAAAGTAATTTATTACACATGTTTTGGCTCCCTCCAGTTGGCCTCATGTATTACGCAAATGAGTACACAGGATTGTGCAAAACTTAACCCTGTGTATCACAGAAAATTTATTTGAAAGGTGATTTTTTTTTTTTTATTTACCTCTAGAACAAAATAGCGGGGCAGCAGTAGCGGGGATTTTAACAATGAATGTGCCCCGACTATCGGGCGAAATGTCTTATTTTAACACCACTCAAACGTTACACTCCCCGGTATTGCCCGGGGGTCAGGGGGCGGGGGTTTCAATTGACTAGTGCATAATAGCGGAATATCAACACTTAATTCATAATAATGACGAGATGCCCCTTACATCGCTATACCATGCTTTAGAATAATGCGCAATCAATCATTCTTGCAGATTGGTGTGGTGAAGGGGACAACAGAACATAAAATCGCCATGCGGATAAATGGAACCAAAGGAATTCATTGTAAGTGAACACTCTTAAAACAACAAATAATTTAGTTATTATTGTTATTCCTGTGTTCTTTACAGGTGTCGAATACTTAGACTTTGACAACATGGTGAATGAACTTAACGATGGCATACTAGATGGTGTTCTKTTAGATGCAATAAGGTCGAGCAGTCTTAACGACACCACCATTCCGCCATCGCTGTTTCAAGTAGCAAAGACATTTAATCTCGAGGTGACTTATGGGATAGGCTTGTCACGTGATGCTATCAAACTGGATCGGTTATTTAAGGAGTACATTACTGAACACCCAGTCAAGCTTGATATGAGCAAGAAACATCAGAGAAAGTCAAATAATTCAGCAGATTTTGTGAGTGTAATTTATAATCAATAACAAACTGACGATTATAAAATAACTATTGTATAACGCTCGCGTTGATTGGTTGAAATTTGCATAAAACCCGCGGCCTTTCCATGAGAGATCTTTTGTATTTTTTTATAACTTATATCTCTATATCACGCCCCTGACTCCGCCCTTGTTAAGTGTTGGTTTTCTTTGATTGATTATTGATCATCTCGTCTTTCAGTCTAAAGCAGCAACAACTCATTCATCAAAAAAGAAAAACAAGAAAAAATTCATCAATTTTTTTGATCCMAGCAATTCATTGTACATGAAGACTGTGTACTTTACATCGGGTTTCTTAATCGGCGCAGTCGCCTGTGGATTGTTCTTTTATTATTTCACATCAAGACAACAATATCAAAAGCAWTCAAACCAAGGTAGGCACATATCTTATTTTATTTTCTTGTTTTTACAGTCATGTTCTAGCTTTCGATTTCGTTTGTTTATTTCAGTTTGACTAAAAGTTGCATCAGCTAGCTCTTTCAAAGTATCTCAAACATTTGTATAAGGTTGTTATTAAATGGAATGGAATAATTGCCTGCTATTTTTATTCCTTTAGATCTAACCAAGTATAAAATTTCACGTCAGTTGATTGCTGAGCAACGTGAAATACTGAGAACTTTTTATGGGCGTTGTGTATTGGTGACCGATCATCTACGCCACAAACACAAACAACAACAACTCATTTTCATCGAAACGCTACATAAACAAAATCAACAAAAAAACTGCATGGTATCCTGGTTACACCACTTYAAGGAGAAAGAATATATTMCAGGAAATACAGCTCCAAAACCAGTTATAAAACACCATAGAGAATTTCCTGGAAGCAACCTTAATACAGACACAATGCTATAAAACATCGCAAACCTCAATCAGTACAGACACAATTTGAGAATTAAAGTGAAAACAAAAGCTGAGCAGAGTGATGAAAAACGAACAACATCAGTAACTGTGCGAAGACACGTGAATAAAGCTGACCATTATCCAATAAAATCATAGCATTTCTCGTTCATAGTTCATTTTTGGTTGATGCCAGTTTGTGTATCGTATCTTCAAACCAATGGAGATAATTTAAGGACCTCCACATCGATAAACAAAAGGGACTTATATTAAGTCTGTATTATGTTAATTAGGAATGGACCGTCTTGAGTCACGGAAAGGAAAAACAAAGCGAACATGTAAGTGCATACCAGAATGAATTCAATTCCTATATGAACACTACTGAATGTGTAGCAGGAGAATGGAATGCTATGATATATTATTATTTATTCATTCCTCGTTTATTCTTTCATTGTTGTATCACGTTGATTTGAGCAAAATTGCTAAAAAGCAGCGAGAGTGCGAGCGAGGGTGCGAGAGTRCGAGCGAGAGTGCGAGCGAGGGTGCGAGCAAGGGTGTAATAAAGAATGATTCCACGAAATTAGATGAAAGCAATGTAAACAGGCGAATTTCTTTGCCCAATGCGGTTGTAATCCAAATGAATGAAAGAATCAACGAATAGGAGCACATGTGTGGACAAATATGGAAATAGACCGCGGCAAAGAGCCTTCGACCTTACTGTGGGAASACGTCTCTATAGCAACAAAAGTCATCAAATAACTGCAATTACCGCTATCCTTTCGGCAATAACAACTCATCAGCACAGCTATTGAATAMAAATTATTAATTAAGAAATAAGGTCAACAGCGATTAGGTCGGTTATTCTGTACCAATATTAAATATCCGTTGCCTCGCTTCGGACACTCGTCGGTACCTCACATCTTAATAGCAGCATTAAAGAACTATTTCAAGCAGGAAATTGTAAGAACTAGAARTGGAAATCAAATAAGGAATTATTTTATGACTTAACTCGTTGCTTTTATCAGTGAACAGTCCAGGAAATATATTTTCTTAGATCCAAGAGTTCTTAAGAAAAAAACATTTGAACTGAAATATGGCAGTCCCACYTACTTTGACAAATGAAGTCACGTGAGCTCCTTACAAGACGTTTACTGTCAATGTACGAGGTTTCGTTTTGTTAATGGATGATTGYAGTTACTCGTCTCTAACTTGATAATGATATCACTCTATATAGAGGTGTTTATCATAACATTCAACTCATCAGCGCCTCTCATTAGATGTCATCTTCTATTAGATCTCATATCTAGTGTGAAGGTACACCGCTAAGTAGGTGATATTTACAGTAGAATATGAGCCTTGATCGGCCCGCTGTTATGAGGATTGTCGGCTCCAGACCCCGCTTCACCACCGACAGGAAATTGATCATCACCAAATTAAATTTGCGCGACAAAAAACGCATACAGAGTACGCGATCGCAGGGGAAGGGACGAAGAAATGGTCGAAATATCATGCGCTCTTTCTGTCGCGATGAGCATCAACAAGGTCCAACAAAACGACACAGACCTACCTCAGCCGATACCATAACCATGCAATTGTAAACAAATGAGGCAAAAAGATTTGTTATTCTATTACCGATAAGATGGTTCTTCCGTCCGATAACGGTACAACAAATCGATATTGTTCTTTTGACTGGAGTGTACATTTTCTTGTTGGGTTTAGATCTAAAACTATTCTGAATAAATAAACACGATATCATATATTATTGTTTATTTTAGTAGCTGTATTGATCGATCTACGGCAAGTGGTGCTCTACGAATTTCCATCGAACTTGACGCAAGACATTAGATTTCCCTTCGCGATTTTAATAGAAATACTTTCACTGAGTTTGTCACTTTCAGAATCTTGTAAACCTCTTAAGTTACCACAAAGCAATATTTCCGTTTAGTAAGTGTATAGTGACCACTCTTTGTATGAATGCCACGTGACAACCGCACGAGCGGAAAAATAAAGGTCACCGCACGGGACTTGCTACATCACTAAGAAATATAAAAAGAAAGAGAAAAATAAAAAAAGAAAGCCCTGTTTGTTAGAAGTACGAAAACCAAGACACAATTGTTCGTTGTCTGGGTGGTATTATCACAGTGGGTACGAGATTATTAGATTTTTATGTTTTGTTGTTTGTAATTAAAAATCATTTATCATCAGTTCCGTGCGTATTATCTGTCTTTCCTCTTCCTCGAGTTCTCGGGGCTTTTTTAATTCACAACATTCGATTGTTTTCCGTTCCTACTAGGTCAATTTCATGTCTGTTAGATATGAATGTTTATTTTTTTCTCAATTTTTCCGTTTCTTTGTGTCATTATTTGGAACTTTCGTATTCCTTAATGTTTTTAATATGAAGTTAGCGGCATATTAGCACTTGTAAGTGTTGTATCTATAAAATCTTATCTCGATGATTGGATACACGTTAACGCGAAATATATGACACCTATCTACTGAGTGATAAATGACTAATGACAAATCAATTACGAGTCATTTGTGTCTATTTATCCAACTGCTCAAATTATCTTACTAATTTTCAGCGCCTTGATAGCGTTGTGGTCCTGTTCATTTGCTTCTAAACGAGTTACTAAATGAAAATCATGATTTGATCTCGCCCCACCAATAAGAATGCAGGATTAGATGAGGCGGCTCTTGTGTAATCCTTTTTATCCAGTTAGGTTTAGAAGTTGTTTCTTTTGATTGCTACCTTTGATTAGTCCTATTAACAGTCTTACACTGACTTCGCTCGTTAAAATCTAATTCGGGTTCGACTGTGTTCCACTAGGAACAATAGCCACTGGCCTTCCTGAATTGAAATATTTGTGACGGAAACAACATCGGATACAGTTAATGAAAAAAATAAAATTTCATTTAAACCACTTTGGGCTGATTTTCAATATAAATTACTTTGCCAAAAATAATAGTAAAGAACGCAATGTTATCATACCGAAAGCGAAAGCTCTAGCTGCAGGGTTGGTGTTTGTTTTTTAAACAAAAAAAGATGTGAAGAGTTTTATGAAAAACAACCAAAGAGAATCCAATATTGACGGTAGAAATCCATCTCTTTACAGACAATAAATGTGTATCGACATAAGAGTAAGCCTATGGCCTACAAGTGACAAAGACTGTCCCCAATAAAGACCCAAAAGATGATTACTGTTTATCTATAATTTCCTGTTCTCAAGAAGGCTCTCTCATTAACTCGTGTGCGGTACCACAAAGCTGTTAATTATTGGATGATATTAATTAAAGGGTTAATTGTGACTCAATAGGTTTTGACAAGTCGGTAGAGTCAAGAGGTAAATCCGTACAACACATAAGCCGTCAAATACACCGAGGACACCGGTACGACTGCTTAAAATAAACACCTACGGTCTTCACACATAATGCTTTAAGCTTGCGGGATTTGAAGAGAACGTATGTAGTTATTTTGAAGTGATTCAAGGAGGCATCATTAAGGGCTAGCGTGCTTTTCAAGTGTCGTGTTTATGCTTCATTTTAGGTCGTTAGCATTCGATTAAGAATTGTCATAACAAACCAAATAGTTGATTGATGCCGCCTAGAACACGCCAGCACTATTTCTTCATAATAGAAACATTAATATCTCTAAACTAGGAATAAGGCTAGATCGTGTCASAAGGATATTACATCTACCAAATATCACCATGAAATTAGGAAGTCGACATGATTTTAATGATAATTAGCTTTACATTAACTTCAAAACCTCGAAAAATATCACTAACACCTCCGTAATTCCTTAGTTCAACTAAACAATACAAATCATCAAATGTGCTTCATTTTAGAGTCAGCTTTAGCATGATATTCCTGCTAATTGCCCGCAATAAATGGCAAAGAGTTGGCATCGTAGGGAGATGGTTGGGCGCTTTGGAAACTCACTGGCTATCCGGCTGTCAGCGTAAGCTAGACGCCGTTAATTAAGGATTTCATCGAAATGACACCGTAAAGATAGCGGCAATTAATATCAATTAATATCCATCACATATGTGTAAATTTCATTATTTTAAATTTTCATTTCTTGGCTCGTTGTTTGCACAAGCGGCTAAGCAGTGGCAGTCACGGTTACAATGAGAAAWAAATGTCTTCTTGGTCATGATTTTTCGTGTAGTGATGATCGCGGGTTGTTCTGCCTTCGAGGTCAATGTTACAATAGCACTGGGCGCATTTTYCATGGTATTTCTTTAATGGTCAAGTAATTGGGTACTTATTAAAGTCCTATAAGATTGTTATGCTAATCTTCATAGAGATTAATGATAATAAACTCTTATTATATTTTCTTTCGGGGAATGTTCTCTAAATAAAGCAAGATTGAGGAGTTGATCTGTGATTGGACAGTCAAGTGTAACGCCGCATCTCACTGCTGACCGGCTGGACCTTGATTCACTCGCCTACGAGCACTAAATTGGACCTCTGTATTTCCTGCCAGCAACATTGAAAATCTTTGACTGATCACAAACATGGAATCCGCAGACAATGTTGAACCGAAAAGCGTGTCGCTTTCTCATAGCATTAGTGGTATTCTTGGTCTTRATACGTACGAACAACAAGACRACWCTAACAYAGCAAAACAACATGAAACTACTCAGAAAGACGAAAATGAAGAAAGTAAGTGTCTTTAGTGAAGTTGTGTGCTTTATGAGATTGCTAATTCATCTGTTTTTAACACTTTTACATCATTAAACGTTTTATCGCAAAATTAACTTTTAAAAATGAATTATCACCTAGCTGTCAAACTTTGCTACGATCTCTTATTCTGTACCTGGAACAACGCATTTCATTTGCGTGTTTAGTACAAGTTAAATGCGTCTCGAGTGGTCCTGAGTATCACAGGAAAAAGATGTTTAAAACGAGAAGTGATCGCTAAATTAATGYACATATTCTTCCGCATTTTAGTCAGTTGAACGCTTGCTTTGTGCTTTAGACAGTTAAATTAAGTTCACGATAAGAACCTGATAAAATTTAATCGGGACATAGAATATTCACATATTATACAATGGTTGTGCGTTTTTAGTTCAAGTAAATCAGAACGGGRCTTCCACCTCTATGTCGTCCTCATTTGTGCGTCTAACCTGTGTTTATAGTTTATCAAACTAAAACAAACCATTAAATGATAAACACACTGATCAACCAGAAAAATAGTTTGAAACACTTCAGGTGTAAGCTGTATAATCAATACGAAACTTACCACTGAACCAAACCTTAATTGCTCAAACTTCTATCATTAATGAAATCTTTCGTTTACTGTTATACAAAGGGCTGGGATTCATGGCGGAAAACGCTTGTTCCCAAAATGTGACTGTGAAAAATTGAAACTTATAAAGTCATAATTTATGGAAGTACTACTGACTCAGAATAAAATGAAGCAAACTTTAGTTTTTGAGAAAAAGCGCAAATTATTCTTTGTCACTTTTATTCAATTAAAAAAAAAACATGAAATACTGAATTGTAACTTTAGAAATTTATAAGACAGGTTTGAACACTTGCAGTTTCCTATGGTAACTCTGTGAAAGAAGTCTACTACAAATTTCATACAAAAATAACCCTAAAGAAACTTGAGTTTTCCAATCAATCTACATGGAATATTATATCTCTTGTTAGGGTAGAATTAAAGATCCAGATGTTTACATCTTGGGTTAGTACAATCCAATTTACCAACTAATTTCCATATTTCCCTTGACTTTCTCTTCAGAAGTCAAACTGTGCATGTCAAATAAACTGAGCCGTTTTTGAAAACTATACATCAATTGGTCTTAACACCATATCCAAAGGATCTTTTAATAATTTAAAATACCCCCTAGACGAGGCTACTAGAGTTCGCGTCATGGATTAATTGAATTTTGTGAAGGCAAAATCAGTAGATAATTTAAGCAGTTTGGTCAAGATGGTCAGTAAAAGGCTATTTGATAATGACTAGTATTGATAAAAGGGCTGACTTTAMCATACACACTAGTGTATTCCACCATTAGTCCACCTACTACATAATGAGCCGCTCTATTCAAGGTTAGTTAGAGACTTTGAGTCTTTGTATTTTTGAGTCACAAAATTTTAAAGAGAAATCCATAAAATGTAGGAGGGAACTTCAGTTTGAGAACTGATTCAAAATGAAAACCGTTTACAGTACGCTCTTTACTGGAGAAAGTCTTCGTAAGAATTACAATTATTTACAATCTATTGATCAATTAACAGCCTTTTGATGTCCACATGCAAAACCGGCAWTGACACGATTTTCCTTCCTTCTACTTTAGTCTGAAATCCAATTGAGAAATTCGTTCGTCCCTCACCCAGAAATTAGGTCCTGTTCCATGTCGTCGGGTATGATCGAATCATATTATCAACTAAAGTGGATTTTAACGCTCTCAAATGGAATTATAAAGTACAAATTTATTGCAAAATTAGAACTGATTTTGCTAGGTGTTTTTAGGGCGTGCAATTTGATTCTGTAAGAGTTTGGTCAATAAATGATTGAAATACTGATTTGTATTTCTTTGCCTGCCTAACCAATCAATATATTTCATGTGAACTTCTCATAGTTCACTCAGATACATTTTATGTTCATTGTTTTTCAGCTTTTGCTTCCCTTCTTGTTTTCATTTTTTTCTCATTCTATCCATTTCCAAGAGAAACAATGGATATTTCTAACTTATTGTTGTCCTGTTGCTAGATACAAAAGAAGACAATAAAGATTCGACGAACGAAAAGTCCAGACCTGAGTCAGTCTGTTCRCAAACCGAGATCGCTGAAGCAGAGTCTCCAGGAGGAAGTGGTGCTTCAAAGAAGAAGAAAACTCGTTACAGAACGACGTTCAGTCAGTATCAAATCGAGGAACTTGAAAGAGCGTTTGATAAAGCACCTTACCCAGACGTGTTCGCAAGAGAAGAACTCGCTACAAAGCTTGGTTTAACCGAGGCCAGAATACAAGTAAGTTTTACCTATAAAGTAGAAAGTTAAAAGCATTTTTTTCATCAAGGAATCGATTCATATCGTATAAAAATCGCAAAATAATGAATAATATGCAATATTGATTTGATTTTGATGTTGATTTTCAGGTTTGGTTTCAAAATCGAAGAGCAAAATGGCGAAAGAGAGAGAAGTTGTGCGGTTTTGGACCAATGGTCGGTCCAGGTCTCCCCTACCCATGGATGCACGAGCTAAGTCCATCACCTAATCCTTTCTTTTACCAAACACCAACCGTCTCCACTGGTCCAAGGGAACTTTGTACCTCATACCTTGCTTCCCCCTGTACACAGTATTGCAAGCCAAACATTTCTCCCTTTGGACGGGGGATGCCGCCATGTCACGTACGAGAATGTGGATGCGGGTACTCAGGAAGTATGTTCCCAGGGGCATCCACGGTTGGGCCTTGTGTCGTGCTACCGGGTTATAGAGATGAAATAGAGCCTCGATCTGATCCCGTAGATGTAAAACCTGGAGAACTCCACAAAGAAAATAACCGGGTATCAAGTATTGCATCGTTAAGACTTCGAGCAAAAGAACATGAAATGAGCTTACTAAGTTGTTTTCATAACAGCTAAAATAGTTTCGACATAAATATTGTACATATAGCTAGCTATGGAGTATTTTATATACTAGAAGTCAGATTCGATTATTTGATGTATATTATTAACAGAGAATAAACGTAAAATAAAMATTCATCTCAAAGATGTCGTTGTAGAATGATATATTTTAACATCAACGTGTAGTTTCAAAAGGACTGAAACAGCACTAAAATCTCATGAAAACCACATGTACAGTTATTATCAATACAGAAAACACGAATCATCATAGAGAAGCAAGCAATAACCCTATAATGGAAACGAGGAGAAAGATTTACCAAAAACGAGAAAAAGTAGATATTTCGAGCAAAGAGAAACAGAAAGAAAAAGAAAAAGAAAATATTCTAACCGATACGCTTGTTTTGAGAAAGAATTTGAAACTGGTGTGAAAATATTATTTGTATTTATTGAAAAGTCCTATTTAAGATAATCATTGACTTAAAAGTTGACGACAGAAACCATTCAAGTGCCAGACGACATTTCAATTACTCCACGGAATTCATCACTCTATATTCGGTACTATAAGAAAGGAACAATTTTGAGATTTCATATTACACTTAAATAAAATAAAATAAACTGCATTAGGTTTAACATGTAATGACTGGGAAAACCATTTAATTGCTAACGCTATTTGCACTCAAATGGTTTTCTGTCGACGTTACGCGAGGGTTCTGGTATTCAATGAACAACTATTAGCAACACTTATTAACCAATAAGATTACATTATTCATAATGGATAGGAAAGTCTAGTCTCAATTAATAAACACGGCGACGTTTAATTCTGTTTAAACACGACATCTTATCATTCTAGAATAAATAGAACTATTAATCAAGACTAGATCATGCAATTTACACACGATGAACCCCGTAAGAAACAAACCCACGTTTGTCATTTATTCAATTCTATAGAATATTTTGTACGCGAAGGAGACAGAAATCAAAATGTCTGAAATAAAACGACTTTTCACACTATTTCTAGGAACGATTGCCTTTTCTATTGCAAAGCGAAAGGGCGTGGTCTTATTCTATTTTGACAATAAAGTTTACTTTAGCGTAGAAAACTGGCACCACACGAAGAAATGGTTATTGTTATTCATATGGTCGCTAACAAAACGTCATCCAATGATTTAAGCGTGAGGTGAATAGGCACATCTAATTAATAGTTCTTAGGGTAATTGATGCCTGATAAAACGGCCTTTGAAATAGCAAACCGACATTTGGCACTTTTTATTGTAATGAGGTTAGTTCCATTGATTGCAAGAGTTATTGAGTTAAAGCAATTTGAAGGCCATACGGCAGTACAAAGAACTTGTTTGTAGTAGTTAGTTTATAATACTAGTCAAACGGGGCCAATTTGAATGTCAATAATGGTGATCCATGTACAAGATGGCCACAGCCAGGACAGCAATTAACGCGACCTTCATCTAAACATCACAGCAAAATCAATTTCATCTTCAAACTTTTACCTCTCGCGGGATTTTCTGATTTACAATGACTTCGCTTCCATTCTTCGAAACATCTAAATTTACTAATGGAACTTATCGACTTATTTTGAAAAGTACGTTTTGTTACATATTGGCCGGACTTAACGAGTTTTTTAATCGCTTTTCTCTCGAAACTCGATAGGTTTTAGCATATTGTACAAGGCCAAAGATAAAAAGAAAATTATGTATTWAGAAGGCTGAAACTAATAAACAACACAGTATGAACTATGCATTGAAATGGGTTCAAWATAAATAGAGAGTTAAAAGAAACCAAGTAATGATCGCTGAATATGACTTACGATTTCATCAATTTTTCGCTACAATTATTTAATTATGTGATGAAAATATTGCGGACGAGGCAATAGTCCCATAAGTCGTATTATTACAATTTTCTCGCTCCTCAATACAAATATCTAGCAAAATTCCAATGTAGATCAATCATTTTTCGATTTAGAAAAAAAGGTTAAAAACCATATTTTTTCTTGATGACATCTTTCATTCTTAAAAGTCAATTCATTTTACTCGACTTGTCCACGTGCCAGAAAAGTGATAGTTCTTCTGAGACGATCGACCAGAATTGTCTGATTTTTTGTTTTGACTAAACATCAKACAAACAAAAAAAGAAACTCTATAACTGTACAAATAGCAGACTTTGAGTTTTTGTAATCAATATATACTTGATATAYAAACTGAATGGCCATTCAACACGACTTCCGGGAAGTGTAAGTACAGTTAACTGATTCAAGTTCTCGTTTCCAATCTAACACTGTGTTGATTCCACTCATTACTCTGCAATTCTATTAGTTCACCAGATATCGATCAGTGTTCCCAATAAAGGTACCTTTTTCTGCACAGATGGTCCTACTGGTTTGCCGACAAGTTTGMTCAGAGAAATCAGCCGATTTTATATGATTTTGTTAGGATGTTTGTTTATATAATCACTAAAATACAGACGAAATGGAGCCTTCTTTATTAAGGCACACTTGCCTAAGTCTATCACTAACCGGCAGTTGGTTATAGTTTAATAATCGGGATAAAAAGTGATCATTTTATCTTAAGATTGTGTTAGTCATATAATCTGCCTTGTGCTGTCCGGCTTTGCTTGCTTCGTCATTTKATTTTGTTGTTATAACATGAGGGACTTAAATAGACTACTTTGAATTCATGGTATAATTCAAGTAAATAGAAAAAAAGGGTGCAAATCTTTGGCTGTTTCAGAAGCCGAACATATAAATATACTTTGTAATCTTCGTTATCTTTGGCCTCTTGCACGGCTACACGACAATGTAATGACAATATTTACGACTTCGATAAAATGATAACCTGATAACAGCTCAACTGGCTTTCAAGCATGATCTTATCTTTCTTCTCTGTCTTAGTACGTTTGATATCATAGTTAATGTTTGATTTGAGATTTCTTGTTCAGGATAAGGTGATCCTTTGCGCAGAAAGGAGTTTTGTCTCCAGGACAACTATTTCCGAAACTAGTCAGTCATGATTTGAACTAGAGATATAATGTTGTGCGATCCACGGCCGCTGCAAGTACATTTGTCCAGTAGTGACTATTACTAAATACTATCTAAGACAGAGGAGACCATAAAGTAGTTCAGCTTTCTCACATTAGCCACGAAGCCTGATCGAGCAAGTTTCAGTTTATATTTTTTCAGCCAATTCACTGGGAGTGGTTTACTTCAATTTTTATTGTTTTAGCAATCTCTTTAATGAAGGAAATACTATCAGATAGAATAAAGTCATGCTTTATAATCAAAGCAAAATACAATAATACCTGTTTAACGTCAGATAACATATYATTCATGGAAATATATCTCACGGTTTCTGAATCACCTGCCTTTGATGCATAAGTCAATTTAAACCACGACCCCCCCTACGCATCCCTCCCCGGGCAATATCGAGTGTAGTAAACATTTCAACAATAGTTAAATCAATTCCTGGTTTTTCCTTTGGTTTAGTTAATTCTGTACACCTTCTAGTGAATTGATTCTGTTAAAGCAGTGTTAAATCCCTTGCTATAAAATCACCGTGAGGGCCGGGTTTTCAATTGGCTAATGCAGCATAATGGTGTCAGTTAAACGTCGACAAGTCTTGCCATTCTTTCATGCTACTGCCGTTCAGTTGGGTTTGAACACTCTAAGCCTTGGTCTATTTTCAAGTTCCTACCACAAGTTAAACTACGTTTTTCTCTTTTCTTTACAATATATATGCCGGGCAAGCCTTGATAATCATCTGCAAATTATTTCTTATAAGCTAATTGAATCCACTCGTATTAATATATGTTAATTTATGACAGCGAACGCTAATAATTTATGCAAATGTTTCCGAAAAGTCATGAATGACTCATCTTAGTTTCATACTTGACATTAGATTTGAAGTCTCGTCGGTTCCTTTATGATGAGCTTTCTTCTGTTTGTGGGGACGTACAAAACATTTCCATACCCTGAGTGTTTCATCAGCAGCTACTGAAGCCACGTATTGACGGTCTGGTGACATGGACATCTGTAGAACACGTGATGTGTGACCAATCAGATCAGCGACACGTGACATGGAAGGATATTTCCAGATCGTTAACTGGTTCTGAGAAAATCCATGTCCAGATATGATCTCTTTATAATCAGMGGACCACAGTAAAGATGAAACCTATTCAACAAAGATAATAAAATAGACAAATGAATGACGAACAAAAATAAAAGTCTAATCGTCACTCGTCCAATTTTACCTGACTCTTTGTGTCAAAACTACTCAGACATACTCCTGTTGATGCATTCCAGAACCGAATATGCCGGTCAGCGGTTCCTCCACCACTTGCCAGAACGTTAGAATGGAATGGGCACCATGATAACGCCTGAAGACAATTTGACAGTGCTTGAAGTACATGAGCATTTATAATGCAGGGTCACAACACGGAACAGGAATGCCTCTGAGCTCCGAGGGGARRCACAGCAACTTAAAATGGACAATATATTTCCGGAAAATGATCCGTGAAGAAACATCGCATTACCTTAATGGCAGCTTGATGACGATTCAGTGAAAAYAAAGGGCTCTCCTTGTTTGGTTGCCAAATATTGACAATATTGTCATTTCCACCACTCGCCAATAATTTACCATCTAATGACCACATGAGCCCACAGACTTCTTGAGTATGATTCAGCAGTGTTGCTACATGGTGATTGGGCACACGCACGTCGTGGTTATGGATTGAGCCACTACGAGAACCGCTGTAAAGAGAACAACGTGACGTTTTAAATCAGTTTTTTTCTAGAGTAAGAATGGCCCTATTTTTGTTCAAATCGTTAATGCTGTTTTAGGAGTTAAAACTTCAAATTCAAACCGGTAACTACCGCCCTGAGTCTGGTAATTTAATCATCATGATGAAAAATTCGAACATTTTTTTTTGTCAATGTATATGCAAACCCATATCTTACCTTGACAAAATATAGGAATTCCATGACAAGGAAGAAACTCTTGTCGAGTGGCCACTCATTATCCGAACACATTTAGACGCTTCAACATCCCATAGCTTTGCAAACAGATTATTGTAAGCAGATTGTTCGCCAGTAAATGAGAAGGAACCTTTTAAAGCTACATTACTGACCTGAACTTGACCATTGCAATTCCCCACTGACAGAAACGAACCTTCTTTGATCCACGACACACTCGACACGTAATCTTCTCCTTCCAGCTGCAGTAGGTGTCGAGTGTCTCCAGTGTCAGCATTCCACACGTAGACAGCACCACCAAGGGCAAGACCAACTAGGTTATTATTACCCCAGTCTAAGATGTTTAGATCTATATACAAGTTATTAATAAGTTATCATCATCACTTTCAGGCGTAATGATTAATCATTATTTTGGGTAATAATTAGTGTCATCATAATCATCGTCGCTGTTACGGATTACCTGTGTAACATGCGCACGCATGTAAAGTGTAACACGTGCGAATAAAACCGAGTCAACGCCATCTTGTTTGTGTTAGTCATTCTAGTAAATACATGACAGTCGCCGGCGTTCAATACTCACAATAATCATCAACAATATCTGGGGCGTCCAGGATTCTATCTGGTGCCTGTGGAATGTGACGGGTTGATTTCACCTTTGGACCAGTTGGTTTACTTTGGCAGTAWAGTACACGTAAATTATTCTGATAGCCTATGGAATAGGATAAATATCAGTAGGTGTTCAACTTAAGTCTGAATATGACTGTGTACATTCAAGAGTCTTTCAGTGGAGAAGTTCACATACTTTCTTTGTTAGCTGGTGCTCCAGTTTTAAAGTGAAGTATTTTGCTTCCCACTGGCTTTGAATCGCCCTGTTTGTCGTTTTTTGAGGGGTTTTCATGGTCTTCTTCTTCTGCAGTTTCAGATGAGTCATCTTGAACATTATGTACTACTTGATAGTGAGCCCATTCACAGTCTGTAGAGGACCTACGTATTCAACTCCCAAATAGATTAGACTGTATTGGTTATATAAAAACAAATGAATAAAATGTAATTAATAATACACACGAATAAATAAATAAATGCAATGAGTCTCTTCAGGGAGGTCTTGAGAATACAAAATAACATTCGATTGTTTGATGTAAATCATTATTGCAATGCTGAATTGGAAATAATACACCACTTGTTTGATAGCTCTAGKGCAGTTTTATAATCTCCTTCGCAGCCTCCCCCCCCCCCCTGTCGTAAGGCACCCGAAAAAAGGGAGCCAGCAGCGAAGTAGACAAGGGAAGTCTATGAAAAATGATCCATGAAGCCATATATTAACTATGATGAAGCTGACCAAGTTATAAGATATGCAAGATATGATAAATGTGAACAGATAWCTCTCTAAAGTCCGTTTCCTGAACACTGATTTTCAAGCAACAGATATAACTACGAATCTAACCTGCTTGGGATAAAGCGGTCTCCTTGTGAATTGTTTGCAGAATCGGCCGTTTTCTTAGGAGTCTTCTTGGGTGATTTCTGATGTGTACGATGTGCGGATGGTGAGAGTGCGGTGGATTTATTGTTTGGTAATGGTGATAATGGTCCATTACTCTCCCGCCATTTTCGCTGTTCTTGTTTCCTTTGCCATCTAAACTGCGGTCCGTTGGTTATCGGTGCTTCTAGCTTTTTCAGACATTCATTGATTCCTGCTTCATATCGATGTGCCATTGCCGTGATTCTTAAAGTTCGAAGTTAAATTAGGAATACTTTAAAATTATGAATTTAGTTGAACTTTCTCCTAATTCTACCAACCATGAATATTTAACCATGAATATTTAAAACGTAAACTTACTCTGAAATCAGAGAAATAATCAAAGAAGTTGTAGAATAAATGTGCTTCACTCAGTACTTTGATATGTGACTCCAGTGATGAATTTCAAATTCCGCGCACTTCTGTACTATTCTGCGTTCTTATTGGACAATTCACTTAATGTTTGGTCTCATGGGACAAACAACATTACACAGGTTTCCACAAGATAAAACTGCACTAGTGAAAATGAAGCGACATGGCCTTTCGTCCTTTATATTCCGCTACAAATGTTTGTATGTCTGTTTATTTTCAAAWTTTTCAAAGGAAAATCAAGTTACATTTGTTAAAACTGAAACAGCTCTATTTTTCCGCCATGTTTGTTAAGAAACAAATCCCGTTTTTTCACTCTTGGACACTACCCCTTCTTCCGTGTCTTATTCTCTTTATTTCAAATAATTGTTATCGACAATGCATTCCACATTATGATTTTCCAGAAACTTTCTGTAGTTCTGCTTCAARTTTTTTGTAGTYTGTTGTGAGAATCTTTTTCATTTCTTCATCATGAGCTAGTCTGATGGGTGTCTTATTGTCGACATCCGGGGTATTAGGGTCAGCCCCAGCCTTCATCAGCAGGGTCGCGGTTGGTTTATCCTTTGCTAGTATGCACATGCGTAGTGGTGTAAACTTTAAATCTTCTAAATGATAAAAGCAAAAAATACATCAGAGAAATTCAATATTGATTACATTCAATAAATACTACCTGTCTGTGCATTGATGTCTGCTCCTTCTCGGATAAGKAGGGCAGCGGCATCTCTCTGATATCGTTTAATAGCATGATGCAGAGGTGTGAAGTATTTGATCGACAAAGCATTCACGTTTGCGCCATGCCGTATTAGAGCCCTCATACATCTTGTCTAAGAAATAATCAAAAAGAATTTTAGAGAAAATAATGTACTTCTACAAACTGACCACCAATGAGTTAGATGCCAAGGAAACCAGTGSATTTCGCAGTCGTATTATATACTTAGGGTTGATGTGAAATGAGACAACGCCCTTATTGATATGGTGTCTACAATTCCCTTTTTGTGTCTCTTGACAGTGGGACTAGAACAACATTCATGTTGTCTAATAAGTATTTTGCCCTACCTGTCCTTGGCGTGCGCCTAGATGCAATGGAGTTAATTTTTTATCGTACGTTTTACGCTCCATGTCAGCTTTACATTCTATCAGAGCTTCTACAAAACCCACTCTACCATTAATAACTGCGCTATGCATCATGGTATACCCTCCACCATATTTGGCATTGATATCGACACCGTGRCGTAGAAGGATCTTGAGACATGGTACAGAGCCTACAATTGATGCCATATACGCAGCGTCCATGTCACGTAACGTCCGAGCCTTGATATTGGCTTCTATAAAGAACAAAAAGTATCGTGAGGTAAAATACATTGAAGGATGGGTTTCTTATATTTCCTCACCATTGAGTAGGAGGAACTCTAAGCATTCAGGCTCGTTGCGCATGGCAGCCATATGTAACGGTATTTCGTAGTTCTCGTTTGTTTTGTTAACTTTTGCTCCATTGGCAACCAGAAACTAGAAATAAAACAGTGTTGAATGAACAACCTTGTTCCTGTACTTTCCCTATACATAAAAGGTAAATTGAACAGAGTATCGAGCGAGAGAACAACATTCCACCTGTGTGGAGGATACCCTGGTACCATAGTTATGCTGGTACTAATCTACCTTGACGCATTCTAAGTACCCTGACACTAATCTACCTTGACGCATTCTAAGTGTCCATATTTAACAGCATAATGTAGGGGAGTCATCCCTTTAACAGTCAAGCCAGTTTTAGCATTCACGTGAGATCCACATCTCAAGAGAAGATCCAGACATTCTAGTTTTCCATTCATGGCAGCCTCGTGGATTGGCCGCCAACCATACTTTTGCTTACAGTTCGTTTGAGCTCCCATTTTGATGAGCGTTTCTAAGACTTCTTCGTGACCGTATCGTGCAGCATAATGTAGAGGACTCATTCTAACATTGGTTAAATGAAACAAAACTATTGAAAGAAAAAACTAAAATGAAAAATTATAAACTCTCAAATTGTGTATACCATGCAGCCGCTGGCTAAACTTAGAAAMATGTGTAGCGCGCTTTATGTATCATAAATGTTTTTTAGCTGATTTAACTACCTCAAAGTATRGTATCTCGCTTGAAGCGCGCAATAATGTTCGTTTGAGTTTATCCACCTCAGATACATATTTAGGCAACGATGTAGTGCATGTATCCTATAGTTCAACAAGAGCATCCGATGTGAGGTAAACGACTTGCGTTATTGACCCTCGAAAAACGTTCACACAAGTATTTTCACAGATCGATCTGTAAAGTGTTTTCACGRATCTGACGAATCTTTGCAAACAATAAAAATAGCATAGAATGAAGCTCAAGCACTCCAATTTTCAACATTTTAACATTGCAATTGCCGTACATACTTTGTTATACTGTCTTCATCGTTAGCGTGTATTCCCAAATCAATTGCCTTCATTATCATTGACACACTACCTTCCCTTGCACCCAAGAACAACATTTTCTTGGCTTCCATCTCAAACAAAAGCTTTTTGGCGGGAACCAATTCAAGTCTTTTATTACCAGGAGGAGTAGGAGGATAAGGTTGAATCTTACTTGCTCCTGCTCCCATAATTCAATAAAATTTAGAATGCGCGTTGGAATTCATGCCATATTTAAGCTATAACTTGCCATTATGACGTCGAACGCGCGCCCTTGTGGAATTGTGGGAAAGAATCATCCGGACCGCATTTTTTGCCCATTTCAGGGACCGCGGAGCGGGAATTTGTTTGGGGGGCTAGCGGCGAGAAGGTACTAAGGGGGGGGGGAGGATTTTAACTCTCGGAAATGTCATTTCCAGCGTTTTGAGACGATGTCAAGATGTCATATTTACTGCAAACACGCCCAGCGATATTATCAGTAAAATCCCAAAGACTTCGCAAAAAAGCCTCAATTTTAATCATTCACGCTCAGTTTTTACACAATTTTTATAGAATATATATGGTTAAATTTCMTAAGGAGGCTTTTCGCTTCTTTATTTAAGAAAATTCAAAATTGCAGGAAAATTATTGGGGGGGGCTACAGCCCCTCAGCCCCCCCTGCTCCGCGGTCCATGCATTTTATGCAATATTGTTCAGGCTTGGAAGGGAAATATTAAAATTTTCACAAAAATTACTGAAAAAATCATATAAAATCGGTCCCTTTATATRCCCTCAAAACGCTCGAAATCGCATTCCAAGAGTTATTATTTCAAAATTTCCTGGGGGAGGTCAGACTCCCTTAATACTCCTGACTTGGCGGTCGTTAGGGCCCCACATCCAAAATATGCGTCGCGGTCCCCGACATGTGCGTACTAGCCAAAACGTCCACGCTACGCGCCTGTTGTTAGGGTTGGCAGTGATCATCACGAGTGTTAATTGTTTATATACACCGATATGAACGGATAGCGACGCAGCCGAYACTAATGCAATATGGATTCATAACTTTGACACAGCGATCAGAATTTGGACTCAATACTGACGTCACCATCAAAGTCTYAAGACRTAACTGCAGCAATACTTGTTAAATCAAAAATTTATTTTCCTTTTATCTGTTTCACAGATTTGCTCATCGAATTCCCTAAAATTTTAATTACATTTTTATAAAAGCGTAAGCGTTTAGTTAGAAGCGATAGTATATGAAAACAAAGGGGAAACGAGAAGAGAAAAGAAAAGTAATGAAGGGCAAGAAATGAAAAAGCCTGAGAGACTATACTAAGGTATATATTAAAAAATACACTCTAATATTAAAAACATTGCATAATTTCCGATGAATACCCTTATATTGCACCCCTGGAAAATACCTTGTGATTTAAAAATAATAAAATATATTTGATGCAAATTTATAAAATTTCTTATATGTTCCTATGARCTGACTGGGCCTTATGTGATTGGTAGGTCCATTTCATTTTATCTTTAATTCCATTATCTTGAAGCTGTCGAGCGCTATCTACTCCACTAAGCCTGAATGATATACAGACTCGGCAACAGAAACGCGAGAAGGACGTGGCCTGAAAAACCAAAATAAAAATGACAAACAGATAGCTTTATTTCAAAATTATATGGCAGCCCTAAGGGTGCATGAAATTACAAATACTAATTTTTTTAATATATATAATATATATATAAATCTATAATTCTATGGGACATTCGAAAAATTTATAAAAATTATACTTATATGTTATTTACATCTGCTAAAATTTACACATAGAATGCGTTCCTGATGGCAACAACACTTCACCATTTACACCCGTGCTGCTATGAAGGACGATTAGCACCCAACACCTCCCCCCAGTGCTGTCACATTTCCCTACCTTCTGCCGTGAATACAGGGTAAAATAGTCTTGAGTTCAAACCAAACTTGTCGTGTAAGGAACTACAAAAGATGCGAGTAATTATATTCTTAATAAGTCAATGTGCTAGTTGTGTGATTAATGATACTTACAATACCAGCACCAAGGTCAGCAGCTATCAACATGTAGTAGACATTGTTCCAACCCTATAAATAACAATATGTTAGTGCCATAAAATTAATGATCATATAGTTCATCTGTTTCAATCTCGTCTCCTCTATATAACGTATTTCAATCAGCTCTATTTTGCTGTGAAATGTTGATCTTCTTATCAAAATTTCTTATTGAAAATTGAGAGTTGTAGAGAGACAATGGGTAATTATACTCACAGTGGGTGATATGATTCCTGTTAGTAATGGGCCTAAAGCTGCACCTACAATGGAATATCAAATATTTTAATAAAATCAATATTTATATTGTATGACGACAATTGTACAGAGAATACTCACTACCAATAAAAGTTGGTGCATATACTCTTAAGTGAATTTGTTTATGGGGGAAATTGTTTCAATATTTTCTTTGGATTTTGTGTTTTCTAACACTGATGAAATGAGTGCAACATCATATTATGTTCATCAATTGGTTCTTTGTCTTTAGCTTACCAAAGGAACCAGTCCCATCTATGATCGCTGTAACTGTAGCCATTGCTTTAGTATCCCCCCGTAAACATTCATGGGTACCCTGTGGTATAACAAGATTACTTTCAAGCGGAAGTGTAAGATTAMCAGTGATCAGCATATAGACCTACCAAATTAGCAGACACTGCTGTTGTTATAAGTGCATATGGTCCATTCACTAGAACTCCCGATAATGTCATTAGAGCTATAAAAAAGTTTATGGTATTATACGTTATATCTTAGTAATATGCAAATATACACACAAAAAAACAGACTTACCAATATTCACACCTATACTTGAATTAGCAAAAAATCTATAGATAAAAAGCTAAAAGGAATAAAAAGACATAAATCAATGAAAGCATGAATCAATGAATACAGTGTATAGCAGCAGGGAGGATGACATCCTTACCATTGGYCCTCCTAAGAGCAGCATAAACACGCATGTAATACCACTACAATTTGTTTTGTCTGATATGACTCCAGCTATTATCCCACCTGTAATACATTAATAAGTATAATTACCTTGTATTCATTCTTTTTCAAGAAATCTCATATTGGTAGAAATTATTATTAGTGAGTAAAATAGAACATACCCAGTATCCCTCCAACATCAAAAAAGATTGATAAATCTGCAGAAGATTCAGGTCCATATCGAATACCTCCAATTTCTACAATTAGAAATTATAAATTAGTCATGAATAGTAAGTCATGTTTGAAGAACAAACCCTTACTTGTATGTTCTAGATAAAATGGCAGCCAAAACAGAAATGTGTAGCTGACCAACTTGGCAAAAAACAGACAAAGAGAATACTCCACAACTCCCTGTAATTTTCAATGGTCAAAATAATCAATAAAAAGTGATATATATTAAGGTAATTATACAAGATTAATAAAATTATTTATGACAGAATTATTATAGGAAGTGCAATTGTTTTTTACTTACAGGAATCAAAAGAGCTTTCCAAAAGTTAATTGCTTCAGAATCAGCACCATGTTCACCTTTTTTCTAAAATTCCAAAATGTACAATTATTACAAAGAAACTGTCAGAACATCATAGGCCCTTACAATTACCATTCCTGGAGTTGAGTAGCTGTTTGAAGCAGAATCTGCATAAGTGCCTTCTGGACAATTTGACAACAAACTTTCTTCCTCTGTGTTCTACAAGAAAATTAGTTTACACAAATGATTATACCCTCCACTCACTAAGCATGACACTTTATAAAAACCAAAGCATAAAGCTTGTTGTCCCACACTGAATGTGCACCATGAAAAGTACTGATAACTGATTGCTTTTTCCTTGCAGAGGCCAGTAGAGCGGATTTCGTATGACTGTGCAAAAGCATGGATCACAACRCGGACACGGCACGGCACGGTCACGGAACCTCGCCTTCTAGGATTTCAAATGAAAGTAAAGATTTTCCAATGCATCACGGCTACAGCACGGTACGGACACAGCACGAACATACCATGTTTTTTTGCACAGTCATACGAAATCCGCTCTAATGAATTAGTACCTGATGAATTAGTTATTTAAATTATTAAAACAACATGCATATTTCTACATCATCTATATAGAGTAACAACATTCATTGCAATAATGTCATATTTTACCGCAGTTCCAGCATTTCCATTTATATATGCTACAATCTTATTTTCCTGCAAAAAATGCATTTGTTAGTGTTCAATCAACAACAAGACATCAATTAATTCAAAAGTTMATAATGAGCAGTAGCAGTTTTGAACAAACCTCCATGTGATGATTAGGTGGGGAACATCCAATGTGAGCAGGATCTGTTTAAAAATTATGTGTTATTAAATATAATCAAGAATTAATTCAACAATCTGTTTCCTCTGGACAGGATATAATTTACCACAAATGGTTTTCAATAGTTTTCTTTTTGCAAGTTTGTCTTTGAACAAAAAAGGCTTACCAACAACAAGAAATAAAAATACAATGATTCCCATTCCAATGATGATTAATCCAGGAACRACAAACGAGTAGCCCCTGAAATGGAATTGTCACAGTATTAGCAAGCTCATTATGAATTGCCATCATTGTAGTCACTGACAAACCCAGTTAGTATGAATATCAATATATTCACATAACAAGCAAAATCAACTCACCAATGATGTGCAGCCCAAATTCCTGCAATGGCTGAGCCTGCAATGTTACCTACTGAAGTGTGAGAGTTCCATATTCCCATAATAAGACCTCGCCTTTTGTAATACATCACATGATAAAATAAATATTACAAAGCATCCATGATACTGTACAGAACTACCTTTTATTGCATACCAAAACTAATAAAAGTTGACTCACCTTCCTTTTCCAAACCAATTTCCAACACATTCTACAACACTAGGCCAGCCTGATGACTACAACAAAAAAATTAATTCTTTCMAAATTGTGAAATGAACCAGTACTTATTTACAACAACTACAAAACTAATTATKTTGCTATATTCACACTTACCTGAAAAAATCCTGCAAAAATCTACAAAAAAAAAAGAAAAAATCAGAGAAACAGCAATGAATACGTTTAAATGTGTATTACACTGTATAAGATAGTTTGTAAAAAATTCTGCATACCCATGATAATGGTAAATAAAAACTCTTAAAGGTTACATTATCAGTTTCATATTATCATACATACATATATACAGCCTTTTGCAAAAATTATGAGAATTGTTGAAATATCTAAATATCATAATTTCGAGTGCATGATGGGTAATCCTGCGCGATGCCCTTAGTCCCTTGTCTTTGTAGTTTATTTTTTTTTGGCGATGAACTTATCCGTAGTTCTGAACATTTTCTCGATGTCAACAATGAATAATTCTAGCAAACCCGCGTGTTCCGGACAATATATGGATATAGATATTATGATATTTAGATATTTAGACAATTCTCATAATTTTTGCAAAAGGCTGTATATATTATATTCATTACAATTTACCATATATTACCTGCATTACAATGAAGAATGTCAAATTATGAACATTCCAAAAATAACCCATTCCAAACATGATAGTAAATAGACCACTAATGATCATCCCACCAGATAAAAATATCCTGAGGTCCATGTGTTCTGCTAGATATCCACTGAAATAATATCCAAACCAATATGTAGTTAATGTCTCAACATTGCACAACGAAGTCAAGTGATGTGTGTATGTAAGGAAATACTAGACAATCACAAATTCATAATGCTGAGAAATGGTAGCATTGTTCATGTGTTGTACCTAATTCCCACTTAGAGCACGATACTGACCACAACACAACAACACCAATGAACAAAATTAAATTATAATGTTATACCTGGACTCCACAGGAAGCCCATGTAAAAATTCAACATTGAATCAAAATGATATGTTTTCTATTGTGTTACCTAACAAACATTCCTATTGCATAGGAAAACAGGAAACCAAGATCTAAAGCTCCTAGAAGCTCCTTGCTATCTGATGAATCTAAAACAAATAATTAATGATCAGGTAATATAGAAGATTATATGTATAATCAAGTGACTATGGGAAAATGAGATATAGTTTCTCTTATCTCAACTCAATGTCAATCAAATCTGGAGAAACAAACTATTGCTGACAAGTCCTATTAATCATAGAATGCAACATCATTACATATTGTGACTGTTCTACAATACATCCTGATTGTTCTAAAAGCATCTAGTTTTACTCTTGTTCTTGTAATATGAGCTTGAATTCCTGTCATCATTATGCATGTACTTACCAAATGGTGCCCATGAGGGACATGATGTTGTCAATGTAGACATATTATGAATGCTGTGACTTTTTGAGTAGATAAGTGATAGACTACTGCCTGGTTTAATTTCTGTTGTTGTACAATTGCCACTTAAAGAACCCTTTAAAGAATAAGGAAATATCTAAAGGATAGCCAAATTGGAAAAATGGTTCCAGAAGTACATTGTGAACTTAGAGAATATTATTAATAATATTATATTATTATTTATCAAGTCTACTATTCAACACTGATGAGAGACACTGAATACAAATCTGAATATCAATACATCAAACAGTTTGCTATAAAAATACTACAGTGCAGCTATGTCCTTTTACACCTTTGCTCATAACAGGCTAGATACAGACATTTTTTTTTATCTTTATCATATAATATTACTTTAGTGATTGCATTTATTACACCTTTACTCATAACAGGCTAGATACAGACATTTTTTTAATCTTTATCATATAATATTACTTTAGTGATTGCATTTATTGTCAATTCTAGTTACTAAAAGTGTGCTACTGGCTTGCATGACATGCCTAGCAAACTAGAATTTCACATCTTATTTCACTTTGAACATAATTAATGTGAGTTGTTAGGCCAATAGAATGAGCCTATTTGCTCACATGCATGGACCTTTATATCTGACTAAACACTCCWTATTAGTATTCTTTATATAAAGAATACTAATGACCCTAACAAAGGTCTCAGGTTTGATACCTGATCATTGACCAATGCAGGATGTCAACCGATTGCAAAAAAACAGCCATCAGCACTTCTATTTTACTTTATACGTATTCAATGTGGGATGACAAGAGTGCTTTGTATAGTGATACGTGCATGATCAGTTTGCCCCATATATCTCAAAACTTATTTTTTCGACATTTCTCCAAGAATTTTAACAGATTAGAGTTTCAAATTAGTGTTGGAGTTTTTTAAGCCGTTTAAAACACACGCCTTCGGCTCTAATCTTTATACCTGATAAAACACTCTCTCTCGTGTTTTAAACTATTACATAACACACCATGTTAATTGACACACGATAAAGTGTTTCACAATTGTGAACATGATGGTACACATTATTATTRCACATGGAGAATTTTTGTATGTGCATGATCAGAGACCTTAGCTTAATTAGATATGACTATGTTATTGAGCTGAAAACCTTAAACCTTTCACCAAAACTTATTCCTTTTTTCTTTCTGTTCTTTTTTAAATTATTTTTTAATCAGTGGCATGTAAAGAGGCCATAAGTGGTTGAAGGGTTTAAACACAGAAAAAATGTTTAGTATGCAGAAAATGTGGGATTTACCCTGGATGAGGCTCTGCACCTACATATCCTAATATGTGCCTGATCATTAAATTTAATTAAATTTCATCCAATTCAATGTAAGAAACTTTCAAAAAACTTATTTCTGATGTACTTAAGAAGCCCACGAGGTTTACCAACTACTATGTCTGATAACTGACATTTGACAAAGTATTATGATTTATTTATTCAAATTAAAGTAAAAATGGAATTCTTAAGGCATTACTTCAGTACGTTGGTAAGATGTTTATTCACTAGACGTTTTGGCCAGTAAGRMCTTCATCAGTGTGAGAATAAATTACAAGGTTACAAGATTAGCRTTACATAGGATGATTGAACAAGGTCTACAAATAGGTCATTCAAGGTTCAGTGCACACCCAGTTTTTTTACTTGCATATTTCAAGGGCTTCCACAATTTTGCATGTGCATTCATGTCGAATGTTATTGTGTAATAACACCCATTTGATTTATTGGCAAAACGTCTGAATAAACATCTTACCAACGTAATGCAATGCTTTAATATTTTTTGAGGCATTGCTACACCTCTTTCTTCATATTTATTCAAAGTCCAGGAACCACTAGTTCTGAATAAAGTTTGGCAAAGAATTATAATGATTAATTTCTTAAAAGCTGGGTCATATATTGTGTAGTAAAATTACTTTAGACAATTATAGTTAGTAGTAATTTTTCAATAATGAGGTTGAGTGGACTTTGAGTTGATGTTCCATGAGGCAATACAATAGGGAAAATTTAAAGACCATAAAGAGCAATTGTTTTTCAACACTTATTTCTGCTTCGTTCAATGTGAACGTGGTCTATCATGCATACATATAGTTCAGTAGCAAATCAGAAGGCTGAATTTTTTTTAGAGCAAATAGTTTTGTGAATACTAATACTCAATATTTGCTAAAAATTTAACAAAATTGTGTCTCTAAATTTTGGGCATGCTCAGACAAAGTCTCTACATGCGATAGACCCCTTGCATTTCAAGGTGAATGACCTTCAACTGGAGGACAAAGCACTGTATTCTAGTTTCCAAGAGGGAAAAAATCTTTCTTTTTGTCCTCCAGGAGAAGTTACTTTGATTTCATATACAATGGTCTATAATATCATACCTTTACAATACTGATGGGTTTCCTGGACAGATGGTATGAAGTATAGGCCAAGAAAGTCAATAGAAGAGTATGTCCTCGATATCTAAATCATCAAAAAACAAATAATAATGATTCAAGCAAATATCAGCACATTATAAAAGCAATCAAATTCATTTTTTCTTTACAATTCTAATAATTTCCTTATACAAAAACCTTTCAAGACTTTTTCTTGAATATGAAAATGATATTATGCAAACAAAATGATACTTCTGAAAAATATTTTTTTCAATAGCTGTATCAATTACACTGAACTTGTTCAACTTACAATCTGTTCTTGTCTTTGCCGAGCCACTGTAAAAAACGAATTCCATAAGGAACCTTCTTTCTATGATGATGTTGGTGGTGGTGATTTCCTCTGAAGTTCATTTTGCAATAAGAAAACAAAATGACTTAATCCGAAAAAATGAAATCTCGAAAGAAAAGTGTCATAAGAGTAGAACAGGCGATCTTTATATTCTACTATATTACAGATGACAAAGACCAAACTACCCTGAAAAGAGAAGATTTTAGGGTTAGGATAACTTATATAAACAACATTCACTGTGGCATACGTAAGTCGACGTGACAAATAGAGAAATAAACTATTCGCCATCTCTATCAAAACAAAACAACACAAAAAACAACGTAATACCTTTCTTTCCGGCCTTACTCTATGATGGTAGTTATTTACAATGTGATCAGATGTTTCAGAAGGTAGCAAGAGCTTGGAAAATCAGGGAATATTTTTTCCACAACTGGGGTAAACCTTCTCAGTTTCACCCAAGATTTAATTCGCCGACGCTCCAGCTAGCGGCTATACTCGGCGAACTCGGCTGCACTTTCACGTGCTAGTCACCAGTTTTCTTCCGGAAATACCTCGGAACACTTTCGGTAGAAAATCGGTAAACGAGTTCTATTGTCACTATAGAAACAACAACGATTTGTTGATACCCGAGTTTCTTTGAAGAAGACCTTGAATTTTTTCCTCTGTTTTTATCCAACTATAAAACAAGCTTGAAAATAGAAGCATTATGTCGACACACTTTAGTGCCAATCAGGTTTGTATCTTAATAGTAGGATTCTATTAAAATTCCAAGCAGATATTTCGGTTGCCTTCCCAACAGACAGACTAGGAGTTTTCTTCTGTCACATTGCTCGGGAAGTTTCCTTATTTTGTTAATGTTCCTAATAGTATGAACAAGCTTTCGCGGCACAAAGACTACAGAACTGGGAAGTACCAMAGCGATTCAAAGAGGTAAAATATTACGAGACTTTTTGCCGACGATAATAATATTCAAATGAACCAAAACAATGAGATCACCTGACCGAAGGGCTTTAAATTTAGCGCAAATTTCTACTTCTTCACTCTGCATTAGTTTAACTTACTCTACTACTTTGTCTAGCTTTTTTGAATCTTATTTTTAATATTTGACTTCAACTATCCATCCTCTCTTCCTTATGACAAAAATAGAAATCATTTTAGTTGCTTATATTCATTGTCAAATTTCTAGAGGCCTTCCACTCTGGAGGGATTTACGCGTATCATCAGCAATGACAGTGGTCATATTCTTGAAGGAATCYCTCGTTCCTCTAAGTCCCCTTGGGGAGAGTTTGTAGGAACCTGGGACATGCAAAAACCACCATTAAGGACAAGGACTCTCAAAACTAAGGTGAGATTTTGATTAATTGATAGTGAATAGATACTAGTATCAAGCTCAAATCTTAATTGTGTACAGGAATGAYGGGGAAGGGGGCTGGGGCCTCCTTTTTGTTTAAATGAAATTGCTATTTTGTCTCCGGTAGAAACAATTTCCAGCCCAAGATGAGATTACCTGGGTYGGATGTATGGAAATAAAGAATGCTACCTGCTCACACTTTACATTTTAAAAACTGCTCCTTTGTCCCAGATGTTATCGTGCACAAGAACACTATGTTCTTCACCAGTTTATATAACTATTTTGGCTTACATTAACAGGCAATGGTTGAAAAACTACAAGATGCAAGAACTCCATCACCAACTAAAATGCGAACACCTTCTCCTCAAAAACCAAAATCAGCATCTCCTGTAATAGAACAAGCAAGAACCCCATCACCTACAAAGATGAGAACACCAACACCACAAAAAGAAAGAACTCCATCCCCTACAAAAGTAAGAACACCAACACCGCAATGTAMTTCCCCAACAAAAATRAGGACACCCACTCCAACTGGAAGGAAAAGCACCAGTCCTGTCCAACAGAAGGCCACACCTGTACTGGAGGCTGAAAGCTAGACAGTTATTACATGTACATTGTATTAATATAGAATAATTTTATATTTGATGATTCACAATATCATTCAGTTTTCATGATTATTTCAATACCATTTATGACCTTGACACCTGTATTTTATKTAGAAAATCAATCTCTTCTTTTAATCATGTAACATATATTTAAATATACTATTCAAACAAAGGTGATTCAATGTTTTTTATTCAGTCATGTTGGATAGGTTGCTATTGTGGTCTACATGCAACAACCTTAGCACAATATTCCCAACACTATAGTTCTCTGATGTTTTAAGAGCAATATGTGTGGGTCAAGCAACACATATGAGGAAGCTGCTAACAAAATATCTTTGAGGTTTTTTTTTTGGGAGTAGATCTTGAATTGCATTTCCGCTGGCTTGTTTTGTCAATCTGCAAGCATCCAACTAAAGGTTAACAGTAGCCTTCTTGCCTTTTGTAGTAAGATGATTGCTGTCTAACTGGACAGAAGCCGGTTGTACTCTGAAATCAAGCTGGATTTACGGATGGTATCCCATGATCTGGCAGCATAGTGAAACCTAAGATATAGGAATGACACYTTTGTAAATCAAACATGAGTGGATTAACTACATACAAGATCCRTTTGAAATGGATAACGGTCTTACCAATTTTTCTCTGTTAGGTTGTGCTGTGTCAAGGGATGCCTATGGGTAGAGAACACCTGATACAGAAAATTCATAGAATTATTACAAGCTCACCAAGTCATTCTTTTATGCACTTTTATGTCTGAAAAACTTGAGGAAACTATTAAATATGATATCATTGTAAAATACCTGATTTCTCAAAGTTTGAATGACCAATTCAAAYTCAGGATAACCTTTATATGATGGTAATATACCATTACCTAAGTTAATTCAAATATAATATTCATTATAATGCAATAAGTTTGAAAGCACTCAATGTTGTTTATCAGTCCATAGATGACATGTTATATGATTGGTATATGATCACAAAGCAGATAWTTTAGTTGTACCTGTATAGTGGCCATTGGTTGCACCTTCATATGCTGGTATAAGATGCAAATTRACATCATCACATGAAGACAGAAGGTTGTTGAATGGCAAAATGCCTGAACCCAACATAGACATTCCACCTAGAATAAAAACAATATAACAAAGAGACATCTTTTTCACAGTGGTTATAGAGATGGACATAAACATGATTAATATAGAAATTGCAGAATAATSACAATAAGGACAAGTGAGAATAGCATTACTTCTTAACTTTAATCTTGAATGTTGGAATAACGTAGAAGTGACATTATGTACTGCATTGATGTTCTCAGGATGAAAGTCTTCTCTTGTAGCCTTGTTATAAACAAACACTAAAACAACAAGTTTCACTGATATAAACTATTGATCAAAATTCAAAAATATGTGTGAAGTCTGATTTAGTCATGACATCTTACCTACTTCAGGATAATGATCCTCAGCATTGTCTGCAGCATTTGAACCACTAAGAAAATTGAACAAGCTTAGCAAATGCACTACTGATTGATTGATAATTGATTTGTTTATCATCAAACCTTGATGATTCATGAGAGCTGGAATGTGGAACAGATGATGGCTTTAGCATCTCTGCACTCCTTAGAAGTCTGTGTATAAAGGCAGATGYAAATTGGTGATTTTTATTTCCCTATTACTAGTGCTGAGATTCTTTTAAAAGTAACACATTTACAAACATAGACCTCCTTTAGATTTTTGACTCTTGTTGATTATTGTTCAATAATTACCTCAGCAGGTTGACATCTGTGAACCAATCTTGCACAACTAGGATTACATGACAGACRGTCAAAAGGAAAGTCACAATTTGAAGAGACTGAAACAGCAAACAACAACAAATTTTAGTAACAATTATATATTTAAGTAAAACTGCAACAATATGACATAAAATACCTGCATTTCATGGTAGTTTTCTGGTGATGAGTAATCAGAAGGGATATTCCGTTCATGGTGGATAAGGTGGTCTAAAATGGATGGACTCAGCAATGGCTAKTCAATAATAAACAAACCAATGTTCAATAAATCTTTCTTCATGGTAAAATTARCAGCAATTGTAATAGTAATTGTCTTTGCTTTGAATATCTCTAGCCTTGAGTTTGAAATYTAAACCTCACTATAAGTAGATAATAATACCTGTGTGTCGAGGAGAATTACTCTCTCTGTAGTAATAGCAATGTTGAGACCATTTGTTTGATGTAACCCTATCTCCTGTTATAAAAACCATTTTATTCAAATTATGTTCTTAATATTCTTTTATGTGATAATAGACATTTACAGAGACATTTGTACTAGACTACTAGACTATAGGTTATGAATTGTTGCTTACCTGATTTTGCTTAGACTGAGGGGTAAATAGGTAAGACCTACAAAACAAGAAAACCATTCAGTAAATTAGGTGATGACAGGAATGACTACTTGGTACAAAATACCTTGGCTCTGTATTGGGTGAGGCACCAGCTATCATGGACAATAAAGTAGATTTCCCAGAACCTTGCAAACCAATAGCACCAACTACCAAGAAGTCTGATTGGTCAGCCAGTACCTGTAAGGAATAATTATTTTTGTAAACTCAATAATTTATGAGCTATTGCTTTAAGAAGGTTTGTGATTCACCGTGCATATCACAATTATTTAACCTGATGTTTTATTCATCACTGTGATCATCACTGCTACCAGTATCATTTTCATGATTATTCTATAACTTTTTGTCATAATATTGTTCAATATTATTGTTTTTTTTTGTGTTTTTTTTTAACGACTTTATTGGGAATAGACTAATGACAGTATGAACAATAAGAAGAACAAATAAATAAATAAATAAAGTCTATTGGCCCAAAGGGGGCAGCACSAACGAGACAYGAGGTCCAATGCGAGGTGTTGCCCCGAAATAATTAAAAAATATATATGAATTCGAAAGGTTACAATAGGAAATATTAAAAACAATAATTAAGTGGTGCGATGGCATCCGCACGTGCGCACCATAGACCAGGTACATGGTAATTCAATGTCATAAGTAGAGTTGAGTTCATTTTCCAAAATTTTTTTTGTTTGCTGTTACTATTATTTTGACATCATCTATTATTGTCATGATCACATCTGGAATTTTTGGATTGGAAGATTTTTGGATTTTTGATAATATCTTCATTTTGCAATTTTTTCTCCYTGTGGATTTAAATGATTTTTTGTAAAGACTTCCAGATTTCAAGACCCATTAGCATCCMCATCCTAATGATAACATTAATATTACTAATACTTACATCCAATGCAGAATCTGTCCAGTGTAAATTTTCATCTAGCATCTTAATACTTTGAAGAGAGACTTCTCTTTCAACACCATTGATTCTTAATTGAGCCAGACCTGAACTCAGACCCTCTGGTAACCCTCCAGAGGTAACTCCTGTCAATAAATGTATAGTTATTCAATACTTGAAAAAACATATACTTCTACAGTTTTGAGTACCTGGGGTACTTGCTTTACGCTGTATACTTTGTATTGATATTGTTCCTGGTCCTCCAATGGCTCCCCTGTCGTCACTTCCCTGGGGATGTTTTTCTTCCCTTGTAGGTTTGGTTTTCATTGTTGGTAACACAGTTGATGCTGTAGGTGCATCTGGCAATGGTTTTTCTTCTGGTGCAGCATCCCTGGAAATTTACAAAAATTACAAAAACCTATTACCTTTTGATAATTTAACTTGATTTATTATGATGAACCAAGTTATATCAAGTTCATTTTATGGCATTAGTGAATCTAGAGCCTGGACGTGTCCTCCCCTTCCCTAAAAACCATTATGGCATCTAAGTTACAGGAATGCTGGCATTGTTAATTCCACTTGGTATTGCCCGGGATTGGGGGCCATGGTTTCAATTGAATGTTGCATTATATGATTGTACCTTGATTTTAACAGAAGTTTGACTGGGGATTCTTGAGTCTGTGAAAAGTTGAAATGTATCATAATAGCTCATCAAAATAGATTTTAACTTCAACTTACTTTATCAGTTGTTTTTGTAAGAATGATAGGAGTTTTTATAGGAGGTGCTTGTTGTTGAGAAGAACCTTCAGATTTTCCCTTGGATTTCAAACAAAATGCGAGATGTTAAGAACATTCCTAAAATAAAGCACATCTTGGAAAATGACATACCCGTGGTGGTCTATCCCTGTAGCCTCTTTCGCGTCGCCTCCCTCCTCTTCCTCTTGATTTTTCTCCTCTTCCTGCAAACCCCCTGTCGTCCTCCATCTTGGACGATACCTACAGGGAAAAGACTGGGAACTAATTTAATCGTCTTATACAGAAATTTCTTATTACACTGGGAAATATAAATTTGTTGCAATGGATTAGTAAATGGACAAATGGCATGATCTTTAATTGTACTAAAGGAAATCCAGATGATCTGTTTTCGATGCCTTTCTTCCTTTCTTACATGTAGATGGCTATGGACTACCTGTGTTCTATAGTGCATTATGGGTAGTTTTAATGACATAGACGACGAAAAAAGAAAGGAAATGAGTGCATGCTATTGATTCTTAGTTGAAAATCGGTCTCTTTAATCAATGGATTTGAGAAAGGTCTCCGACGATGAGAAAGTTAGATTATGTAGAAAGTATACAATCAGTAAGTTGACCCCAAAACCATGGCATTTCTTCACAATATTGTATGTTTATCCCATGTTGTTGTGTTTCTCACCAATTTTCGTCATCTTTCTACAGTTGGATTGGCTTTCTTGCCGTTTCTTTGGTTCATAAATGTCGTATGGTTCTTYAAGGAAGCATTTTGTCGARAYTSTTTYCCTGGTCAAGTTCAAATGAGAGGAGGTAGGTTGTCGTCATAATTTATAAGTGTAGGGTTGTGATTAGAAATATGAATACCACACTAATCGACTTTTTCAGATTATGGTTTTGCTTTTTATAATTCTTTTTAGATACTGTTAATAGCAAAAAAGTTGTGGATTACGTTATGCACTTGTATATCATAATATAAGTAAAAAGTCATGAAATATATCAACCCATGCCACAACCTTTTTTGGAATTAACTGTCTAATGTATCAGTCAATACTTTTTATAGCCCATTCTTTTATGCATGAACATAACTATTCTATAGAATATCAAAAACAGAATGCAAGACTCTTGGGGAACAAAGGGGATATCTATTGTCTCCGGTGCATCGGCTAGTCAACCAAAACATCAAGAGTTAGCTATTGAAACCATGGCTTCCAAGGCCCTGTAGAACAAAAATAGAATTTAAAATATTCAACTGCATTTCACAGATCTTACGAGACAAAGAGATGTCTAAACAGAATTTCTCACCMTTTCAGTGGTTGATGCTGATAAAACAGTGTTAAATTCCTAGCTATATGATTTGTTAAATTTTCTTTATTGTGTTTCAGATATTATCAAGTCAGGTATAGGACTAGCAATATGGATAGCTGGACTTGTTGCATGGATTGTAATATTTCAAAACAACCGTGCTGCTTGGGGACCATTTGGTGATCAGATATCTTTCCTGATTCCTTTGGGTCGACCATAGTTTATAATAGTGATGTAAATGATATTCATGAAGAAAATATCCTCTTCAATTCAACAATGAATCAGATGATGTCAGCCAATTCTTGTACCAATACAAATTGCTGGATCAAAATATTTTTTTAGAAGCTTCAACTGCCTCTATAACAAAGCCTCTGTAGTAAAATCATGTAATCATAAATCAAAATCAAGTCATTTGTTAGTAATTAAGAATACAGTAAAAACCTGCATATATTAACTTATTTTGGTAGTTCAGGCTGATTTGGTTCTTATATTAAGGGTTATAAATGTTAATATTTGGTCCCCTTTGTTAAGCCCACAATAATCTATATAATGTCAATAATCACAATAATAACAATAATCTGCAAAAATCAGCCTGTAAGTGTTCTTAAGTGTTCTTAAAAAAAGTTTCCAAAAATAAGGAACATACTAGACTACCAATAGATGAAATCAGTACAGTACATATTTTTATTTTGTTTAATATTTTGTTACATATAATGTGATGTGTGCAATGAAAAATAGTGTTGATCTTAAATATTTTTCCATATAAGAACAACTTTCATMTGTCAGGCTGAAAGTGTTCTTATATAAATGGTACTTAATTTCCTAAAATCAGGCCTGGATGTTCTTAATTCACTTGTTCTTAAATGCAGGTTTTTACTGTAATCAAATTAGACATAAAACCCAGTTTATAACTGGTATAGAGTAGGAATTTATAGCAATGTTTTTACTTTTACCTATGTAAATATCACAATTATTTAAATCCTGGTTCTAATTATTATTAAGATAAAATTAATGAAGTTTGATTATTTTSATAACATCATTTACCAAAAGTGAGTTTCAGTCTATTAAGAGTTGTAATTATTGTTCATGGCTGCATAAAAAACTCATGTCAACCATGGTWTATGGAATTCGCCTTGTATGAGCTTGGATGTTCTGTATAATAGTTAAAACACTTATTTACTGGAACCGAGGGAAACAGTATGYTTTATGGTCCCGAGGGACCGCAAAACATACTGTTTCCCGAGGTTTCCAGTVAATAAGTGCTTTATTATCATATCAAGTGTCAAAGAGAGCAAAACAAGTAAATAAATGAAGTGTTTTKATTAAKGATTTTGATAAAATGACTGAAAAATGGCAAATGATACATAATGCAAATGTCAAATGTTACTAAAATCAATCAATGTAATAATCAATCAATATAATAATAATTGTGTTTAGGACATGTAAAATGTGTCRAATCATGTTGAATGCAGTCTGCTTGTTAAATAAATCAGTGTCTGTTACTCTGTGTATTGACTATTCTTGAAATTCCGGTACAGGTGGGAWTAGACTTGAAATATCTACATGTAGATTGATTCTTGTACTCAGACCTTCTCGGAAAATCGAAGGTTCTCTGGTTGCAAATGATATTATATATGTATCTAGCTTGAACCAGAGCCATCATTTTTCTGTTTTGAAACTGAGAAGGATCTGTTTACAAGAATGAATTCTATTGTTKTCTATCCTAGGAATGAGGCTATTCCCGCCTGTACTGGACACCCCCCTTTTTTGGACAACGTAATTTTGCATACATCAAAAAACGTTMTTTTTCTGCTGTTTATACTCGTGTTGTACTTTTATTGAGAAAACAAGTAGCATACACAACATGTGTCCGTCACTATGCTGCTAACAATCTATTTGAGTAGTGTCATCAAAGATATGCTGCAATAAAAGTCAATTTGATTCCCGGTCAAATTGTGCATATAACAGATATAATTTTCTTGCTCTAGAAAATACGCAGCTAACAAAAATGATCAGTTCCATCTGCTATACTTAGTTTTTAGCTATATATTTACTGACAAAAGAACCCCCCTTTTAAAATGCTGGATCCGCCTCTGTTCTAACTGAAGAGTGYTTTAGTAGTTACCGGGCTGCCTGCGGGGGAGGTGAGCACATAGAGCATGTCGGGGAATTCTAGGGCATCATGGGTATYTTTTACGTGAGACGATAAAATGGCGGAGTATTTGGCGTCCATCTTTGGTACTGAAAAAGATAAGTAAGTTTACTTCATAAATGACTTTGATTCCAACAGATAGCAAGATTCTTAATAGTATCATTTCTTTTCATCCTCTTTATCACAAAAACTATGATGATAGTATTCATACAAAGTTTGTCTACTGATGAATTCAGACAAACTTTGTATGAATACTATCATCAGAACACGTTTTTTCTGATCTGGTGCATTGATCGCCTATAGATGTGGTACTGATGGTATTAAGTTGAAACATGACTAAAAACCGAACTTTTGTATGTGGATAACTTCAAACTCGACTATGGTTTCCATAAATTCGAAAATTGATTGTCRAGAAGCTCATTCAACACTCATTTTGTTAATTGAAATATGTATTTCGAATTTAGAGTGAATTGTTCCTTCTACTTCAAAATTGGTGCATGCCGCCATGGTGACAGATGTTCTAGGCTTCACAATAAACCCACATTTAGTCAGGTAAAATCCAGGTCTAAGCATGATTGAAAAAAATTAATTGATATCTTTTAATATATCAATACTCCAGTTTAGAGACCTTGCGCACAGCCTTAACCTCRAAAGCATGTAASATATTCTTTTATTCAGCAGAGATCTTATTGTAATGCAAAAACTCTGTGTACAAAGAAGACAATAAAATATATATGCCTGATTAAATAAGATAATTTGAAACTGCAGTATTGTTGATTTTTTAGCAAATCTTGGCCATGACCACCCTCAATAACTTGTTCAGTCTCTATCTATTTGATCTCCAACATCATGATCACCCCTCCTGAAATTARTGCAAAGCTAGCAAGGAGTACTAGTTTCAGCGCTAAGCGTAATAGTAGTCTTGTAGAGTAATTACTGTATCACATATGTACACTATATTTACTGATTTAYTGTTTTTTTTTATCGCCAGACAATTCTTCTTCCAAACATGTATCAAAACCCCCAGAGTGCAGCCCAAGTAGCAGATGGAACAAGTAAAGTTATTAATCTGCCTACTAGTGTAGAGAATAGACAATTCTAATCATAGGTTGATATGTCATGTAGGATTATTGTAAAGACCCCTGTACGTGGACCTTAGCCTTTCAATGATTACCACTTAACATATCAGCTCATTTTTTAAAGTCCAAGTTTATTTATTTATTTTTTGTTACGAAGTTGCAAAGTACTTTTTGTAAATTATGCAATTTACATAACTTTCATGGCGATTCAAAGTGATTGGCTGAGATGTGTGTTAATCACAGTAAATCAATTCATGATTGTCGGTATTGTTTTTGTAGGTAGTACTATATCTGATGTAGAAGCTCAAGAGCACTATGATAAGTTCTTCAAGGTATAACAAATGTATAAAAATTGTGTTTTTGGCAATAAATAATGTCCCGTTATACTTTATTTTCAAAAAATGCAAAGTTTACACAATTGAATAATAAAAAAATACTGAGCTTCCATAATGTACAGAATTATAAACAACAGTATTTGAAGTGTTATTTTGGTGTTATTTCTAATGATTTCTATTTTCTGTCAGGATGTTTTCCTTGAATTAGAAGAAAAGGTATTGTAAACTTGCAAGTGTTTTTAATATTAACTGCAATATCAAAGTCAATATCTTTTTTATATCTGTGTGTGAATTGATAATCTAACTGTATTGTTTGTTTGTAGTATGGTGAAATTGAGGAAATGAATGTTTGTGATAATCTTGGGGACCATCTTGTTGGAAATGTTTATGTCAAGTTTCGTTACGAAGAAGATGCAGAAAAATCTGTGGAAGACTTAAATAACAGATGGTACAATGGTAAACCCATGCATTTATTTAACTTTTGTCTGAATGTCTCATTGCGAGTTTGTTATTTATTCTTTCAAAATGGATAAAATAGCAAAMAATAAGAGAATCATCTTCTTGTGAACAGGTCAACCAATTTATGCAGAGCTTTCACCTGTCACAGATTTTAGGTAAGCCATGGGTTTATTGAATTGACTCTACTTGTGTTTTATAAAGCATTTTCTTACACATTGATAAACAYAATTAAAGCTGACTTAGTCATCAACTGTAATTATATGAGTTATTTATTTTGTAATGTTCTTCCTTTCAGAGAAGCCTGTTGCAGACAGTATGAAATGGGGTAAGTTCTGCATTGTTTTTGCAGTATTATTACTCTAGATTAAAAAAATTAATTAATAATGATAGTACAAATGAATTTGATGATGACCATGTACAATGAAAGCATTTAAACTTTGCATTACATCGAGAACAAAAAACAACAACACTTTGTACTAAACAGATTACATGAATTTTGTGCAACATGAATATAATTATTATAAAGATGATTTCTTTTGTTGAATTCACGTAATAAGGAATTACGTATACCACTACAATGTATAGTACTATCACTAGTACCTTCTAGAGCGGATTTCGTATGAGTGGGAAACGGACGGTACTGTACTGTGACCGTAATCGTACTGTAACCAAATTCTAGTGCCCTATTGGTTCACCAAAATTGTGAAGGCCAGGTCCGGTAACTGTGCGGTAACCGTGCGGTAACGGTGTCCCACTCATACGAAATCCGTTCTAATAATATATTCATTATAGTTATATCAGAGTAGACTGCATTTAAGTGGTTTTGAAATAGTTGAATATTTCCTTCATGTTGATAATAAATCCTCTTGTTTTGGCAAGAAATGAAATTGAAGTTCATAGTTCCACCACTTTTTATGCAGTCTTGCTCTCATGCAGTTTATCTCGTGTTGTAAAATTGTTTCTTTGCCTRACTCCCTATGCAGTGAATGCACACGTGGAGGGTTTTGTAACTTCATGCATCTGCGACCCATTTCCAAGGATGTGCGGTAAGTGCCTAAGGCCATTTTAAATACTATGTTCTTCTGTCATAGAGAGTGTTCACGTGGTGGTTTTTGTAACTTCATGCATATGAGACCTGTTTCTGGAAATCTGCGGTGAGTGAAGGTTTGAACCACCACTCCCAGCTATCCACCCTTACGTGATGGCTCCAGCCATTAATACACAGAAGGACAAAAGTGATTATGAGTTTATGAAGACTAGTTGTTTTCCAGCCTAATTTGCAATTCAGTGACTTAATTGATTTTTGCAATCAGTAATTTAAATATGTTCAATGCATATACCGGTATCTGAGAAGTGCTCAATATGTATGTAAATATGCTAATCTTTAATTTCTTRTAGACGAGAACTTTATGGACGAAATAGGAAATTTAAGTGAGTATTGAGGATCGGAAAGTTGCTTTGGGAAAACAGGAATGGGATTACTTAAAAATCAAGTGGCATTTTTACCTCTTTTGATGGAAATTGCTTAACTTACAAAACTAGCTGTGAGGAGTGTCGTATGCTAAAACAGTCAGTGTTGAGGTAGAGTGTGTGAGTTGTTTCACAGATGAAGAACCGCCTAGTGGATACGCTGTGATTAAACAATTATTATTATTATTACTTACAGGGGAGGTGGTGGGGGATACTCACCTCCACGACGATCAAGATCGAGATCCCCTCCTCCACATCGACGCCGATCAAGATCACGGTCTCCAAGACGTGACAGGTCTCCCGGACGAGAGCGTTATGGACGACACTAACGTTAATTGTACCTATGGCATGTTATGGAAACACTTAACACAGAGTTCACATTACATAGACTTACATAAACTGGTAAATGTATCAGTGCAATAGCAACATGTCTTGATCATCCAAAGAGACATATGAAACACATCAAGCAAAATATTTGGCAGTTCGTTTCTTATATCGATAGTTTGTTATGGATGGTTTTTACTGCCTAATCCTCGTGTCCTTTATTGCATAAAAAATTGTATTYATTCTTTATTTAGTGTCCGTAATGACAACATTGTCGAACGTTGATTTTTCCTATTAAATGTCTAATCTCATAGTGCTTAATAAAGTTATCTGTACTATGTCTTGAAACAAGAGAGAATCAAAAGGAAAAAAAAGCTATTTTAAGGCTGTTCCCCTCCTGTTTGATGATCGAAGATGAAATGTAATACTGAGTAAACCTTGTCCATCCCCACAAGGATTTTATATCGTCTGAAAATCGCTAATGACTAATTTGACTACAGTAAAATCTTCTTTTGCGGACGCTTTCGCAAGCGGACAGCTCTAATTACGGACAGCTTTCTAAAACCCCGATTTTATATTTCTCCCATATAAACACTGTGTTCACACTTTCTACTCGGCGGACAGCTCTACGYGCGGACCCTTTTTCCGTTTCCCAAGGATGTCCGCTTATGGGAGATTCAAYTGTAAATCAAAAAGGATRAATTGAGGGATCTTTGAAACCTGGATAAAGATATTTAAGTCAGAACGAGATTTATAAGGTATAGGTTGCCTGTAAAGTGCTTAGCCGAGTTAGCAGCTTTGTACTTTGGAACGAGCACCATGCAGTAACGTGATGTTTGGCCAAAAGTAATACTCATTGCAAAAAGGCATTTTTGACCAATCTCGGCCGCTGTTCGTAAAAAAAAACCGATCTATTTACCCCCACCCTCTTAAATTATGATGTTTTGCAACTTCTACTTGTTTGTCGTCATTTGTCTTTTTTTATTCACAGCATAATTCTAAATTTTTATCTTTTTTCCGGAAACCCCTTGCAATCAAGAAAATATAAAATTTTGTTTGTATCAAATTCGTGCACCTTACTGAGAAACAAAAAACGACGTGATCACTGTACGCTCCGTTCTTTTTTATAAATTCGATCGTGTTCTCGTGCATAGTCTATATCACATCTCTTTTCTTTTACTTTGAAGTGCTTTTCTCTCTAGCTACAAGTCCTCCCCTTCTCAGTTATGTGGCGAGGCTACCAAGTTTTCGAAATTTCGTTTCAAAATGGCGACCCCGAAATGAAAAATTAGTACCGTTTAGGTTTGTATTTCTGTATTTAACTACATTTTCTAAAGCTGTGATTTTAAAACGCATTCTAAACAATTGATAACTGTCCAAGCGAACTTGAATTAGAAGAAAATAGTCGAGAAATTGAATGATTCGATCTTGAAAGAAATTCGCAGTTGTTTGTTGACAACGGTGACCAAGCGACGAGCTGAAGAAAAGAATGAGATTGAAAATACATCTTCAAAAAGAACAAAAACGTATCCTTGATGAAAACTATTTYATTAAACAACTAGCAACTTATAAATTCATAATTGTCTCGCTTGCATTAGTCTAAATGGCATTGCTAATATTTCAGTCTATGATCATTTCTTGACGGTTTTCAAGATAAGGAGCTTGTAAGTTGTGTTGGATGGACGACGTCAGAAGAACTCTATTCCAGCGGGTATGTATTTCTTGCTTGAGTTAAGAAAGGTATTAGTTTTAAGTGAACAAGAATATGAATTATTCAGACATGTGTTAGTAGCTGTATTAAAAATTCTTATATTGTTTTAGTGATGATCATTCAGTATTAAGGTGGAATTTATTGTCTGGTGAGACATCTCAGCTGGTTCAGCTACCTCAAGATGTCTTCCCTACAGACCTTCATTGGTATCCAAAGTCTGTCAGTGGAAAGAAGCAAAGTCAGTCCGATATCATGGTTATGACCTCCACTGATGGTAACCAAATCATGACAATAATCTTGCATTTCTGGGTCGGTTGCATTAAGGGAGAGTGCTAGAGTGCCATCCCAGGGGCTGTACATGTATTACAACCCACAAAGGCAGGATATATAGGGGGGGTCTGAGCATTCTCCCCCAGAACATTTTAAAATAACTTTTGAAAATGCATAAAATTTATGGAAATTTTTAATAACTTGTAAATGATGATGAAAGGCAGAAGAGTTATTGGTGCACTCTCACGCAGTCCGTGTATCCACCAGATAAACCCTTATCCATCAGATAAAATGACTGTCTCTAGTGGATAATCTGGCTGCCGATGGTCTCTCATTTTAGCAGTGGCAAACAATCCAGCGAAAATACAAATTGAGTTGTTATACAAGATTCATATTCGAGGCACGCAATAAGTAGAGCTTTTATATGTGTTCTAGGGAAGTTCCATTTGATATCTCGTAATGGCAGAGTAGAGAAATCAGTWGAGGCACACAGAGGTGCAGTGTTATCTGGACGATGGAGCTATGATGGCAATGCCATGGTAACAGGTACGTCATATGACAAAATATCAATCTACTTATAAAGTAGAAAGTAAGAACTAGGGTATACTCTAGGCAGGATAATATATTCATTTTGTTTAAATAGTTGGTGAGGATGGACAAGTGAAAATATGGTCTAGAAGTGGGATGTTGAGGTCCACACTTATGCAAACAGGTATAGATTTCTCAATGATTTTCTATCAGGTCTTGGCTGAAGATTGTTTGATAACAAATATAATAATTAGAAAAAATTCCTATTGATTATAGGAATGCCCGTGTATTCTGTGTCTTGGAGTCCTGATTCAGATCAGATTTTGTACACAAATGGTAAACAACTCATTATAAAACCATTACAGGCTGCTGCTAAACCTATTCAGGTATRATTGGTCAGCATTTTTTGACACTATGGACTTTGTCTGAATTATGTATTTACAATTACAATATATCTATTTATATTTTATTATTTCAGTGGAAAGCTCATGATGGCATTGTACTTAAAGTGGACTGGAACCCTTTAAATAATCTCATTATTTCAGGTGGTGAAGATTGTAGATACAAGGTATGATAATTACAACTGATACTCTCTGACCAGTATTACCTAAAACAAATAATAATAATTATTAAACTAATCAACTTTATGAAAGCTTTGTGAATGTTTAAATTGAAATTAAAAAAAATGCAGTTGATGCCAATAAATTAGCTAAGTTGTAGACATGTGTAAATACAATTCAAAGCTTGAAGGAGAAAGGTGTGTGCAGATCACTTGGTGACTTGATTTTCATATAATTCCTGACAGTGATTTCCCAGAAGGTATACTATATGATTTAGCCAGAGTATACTCRTTAATTCAATACTTACAGGTTCTTTAAGGAAGCATATTAAGATGAGAACTATTAATTCTAGGTTTGGGATAATTATGGTAGAGTAATGTACTCAAGTTCTCCTCATGATTACCCAATAACTAGTGTATCATGGGCACCTGATGGTAAGATTGAGATTTTATTTCTGTATCACACAAAAATATACTCTGATATTAACTGTTTTTTTTTTCAGGAGAATTATTTGCAATTGGGTCTTTTAACACACTGCGACTTTGTGACAAAACTGGGGTAACTATTAGATTGACAATATTTAGTTAATATTTGTACTAATTACATGCTTCCAGTATTTGATGTAATTTTTTCTTGTCAATTACATTGACTTTGCTGACATCTGAATCTTGACCCATTGTAATAAAAACACAATAAAAGACTACAGCCTATATTGTCAGACAGCTGCTATGTAATAGGTCAATTTCCCTATACACTGAACCAATAAAAASTACAAAATGAAAGAACCTAATATGTATTTTACAGTGGTCCTACTCTCTGGAAAAACCTAACACTGGATCTGTTTTTAACATCTCATGGTCCACTGATGGAACTCAGTTGGCAGGGGCTTGTGGGAATGGACAGGTTATCTTTGCACATGTCATTGAAAGGTATTCGTATATATTTCATTGAATAGTTGTGTAATTTTCTAAATTGATGGAACAAAGCTTACATGTAGCATGCATTACACTCTGAAAAATGACTTGACCACACACCATCAACTGTTTTTTAGGCGCCTGGAATGGAAGAACTTTGAGGTGACAGTTACTGAAAGAAAAAGTATCAAAGTTCGTGATGTGATAAATGACTCAAAAGAAACACTAGGTAAAGTAAGGGGTTAAGTTTTCTTTGACAGATAAATSAAATATTAAAGATTACRTTGTTGTCCAAGTGGAATTGTATGAAGTGAAAAAATTAAATGTGAGACTAAAGTAAGATGAAAATTCCAACTACCTGAGCTCCAGTTTTAGAATTCTAAAGTTGATAGAGAAAATGGATCTGTACTAAATGTGTTTTTGTACAAATTAGACTTCCGCGATCGTATCATCAAAACATCTTTGGGTTTCAATCATCTTGTTGTTGCCACATCTTCTCAGTGTTATATTTACAGGTAACTGCTATTAATACCTATTGGTCACTATTTGATATCATCTCAGTATGTAGTATAATATAAAGTTCATGAGCATACAACAAACTACAATCATCTTATGATACAAATAAGGCTTGGACTCAGAAATTTAAAAGAATGATTGGGAAGGGGTCGAATATATAAATTTTGTCTTAGTCTGCCTGTCCATATGAATTATGCAGATCATATGCATTTCTACATGTGTAGTTAAGCAGCCTGGCTTTACCAAAAGGAAGGACATCTGGCCCCCTTGGATCTGCCCTCAAAATAACCATTTACCAGCTCTATGAGATATATCTTTATATCATTGATCATTGAATATTATTTCTATGCAGTGTCAAGAATTGGAATACTCCAATGATCTTTGACTTGAAGAATGGAAACATCACACTGATTGTCCTCACTGAAAAGTAAGAAATCATAAATACCCCATTCACATCAAATATATGATATGTATTTAATTTAAAAAAAAAACATCCACCAGTAAGAGGCCTTTGTGTGGAGATAATTGGGTTTTGTTGGATTAAAATAGGTTTCTGTAATGTGAATAATAATTATTGGTTGTTTACATGATTGACTAGCTCTGTTTCTTATTATGTCAACTTTCAAACTATATAAGAACACATGTATAGGAAAAGTGACCTYGTTTTCTTTCTTAGGTGCTTTCTTATTGTGGATGATGCTGGACTACAAATATATTCCTATGAAGGCAGACTTATCAGTGCACCAAAGATACAGGGTTTGAGGACAGATGTCTTGAATGAGCAAACAGTGTCTGTCAGTAATGATACYATTGCAATTAAAGACCGCAAAGATGAAAAATGTAAGAATTTGTGAAATATAGTGTGCCATCAATGATGTGTAAAATTGGAGTAGAGCGGATTTTGTCCATGTTGTGTTCCATGCCTTTGCACAGTCATAAGAAATCTGCTCTATATCAGTAATGATATACTTTATGATCAAAGTGAATCATATTGAATAGAGCTGTATTTGTGAAATTATTGTTGTTGTTTTTTGTATGTGAGTGTGTGTTTAACCACCTTTATTTTGATTTAGTGGTCTACCTGTTTGAAGCACTCAGTGGCAAGCCTATTGGCAGTGGTGAACCATTAGCACATACGGTAGGATTGCATTCCTTGTCATTCTTTCAAAATTCTGATAAACTGTTTACAAAGTATCAAAAATATTGACCCATTGTTGCTGTCTTGATTTCATTTTTTTGCTATTTTTTGCTACTGGAGATGATTAGAAAAAAACAGTATATTCTGGCATCAAACTATACTATCTAATTCTAATATGTTATGCCTGTGTAGATGGAGGTTGTTGATGTTGCTCTTAGTCAGTGTGGTCCAGCAAGTGAGAGACAGCTTGCTATTATTGACAAAAATAGAGATATGTACCTTGCCCCAGTAAAACATATTGGTGCTGCTGGCAAGTTTGTCAGATTAGGTGAGATTACCATATACCTCCAATTAATCATCATGATAATAATGCAAGCATCAATATAATGTCTATCAAACATTTGTCAAAGTTTCATCATTTAATCAGCATGCATTATTACTGACGAGTAGCATGGGCTCGCATCCTTTGATTTGTAATTGTGACTGTCTTCGGTATGCACACAAGTGCTGCAAGTTTCTTGCATCATAGATTTAATAATGGTTGATTTAGGTACAATGGTAACAACAATGGCCTGGAATGACACTACAAACATGTTGGCTGCATTTCAAGATGGAACTTTTACTGTCTGGTATTATCCTACTGCTGTTCTAGTTGATCAGGACATTTTACCTAAGACTTTGTTAGAAAAAGACTCAAGGTATGTGTTCATGCTGTTGCAGGCTGCATCTCTTAACAACTCCTTCATGCTTTCTTTGATGTGGAAGGGAAGCATGAATGGAGAGGTTAGGCTTGTAACTAGATATTTGTGTGGAGCTTAATCAATCAGTTTCATCCATTCTTTTAATCATTACCATTTCATTATTCTATTCAAATTACCATTCATTTGGTTATCATCCATTCAATGCTTCATTTGTTCATCCATTCATATTAAATTTGTTTATTGATGTCTGGATGGTTGCCATGCCAATGTTGTATTGTCTTTTTATTTTTAAGTGATTTTGGTAAAAATCCTCAAATTCTGAACTTTATTGATAACCACTGCACAATGAGAAAAGCAGATGGATCTCTCTGTAATACAATGTAAGTACATCCCTTGATGTCATAATGAAACAGTCCAATATCATATCAATTATATTGTTGTTTCTTTGTTACATTTTACATTTAATTTAATTTGTGAATTGTTGCAGCATTTCACCATACCCAGCCATGCTGCACAGATACTGCTCACAAACAAAATGGGAAGAYGCTGTCAGATTATGCCGTTTTGTTAAGGTAATTCAAATAAATTCCTTTATGAAGTGTTTTAATTCTAACTGTAATTTATATGCTTAGGATTCAGCATTGTGGGCTTGCTTGGCAACAATGGCTGCTTATGCTAAAGACTTAAACACTGCAGAGACAGCATATGCAGCAATTGATGAGGTAACGAAACGGTATAATACTGTTATTGTATTGAATTCCTTTTTTGAGGAGATAATTGGCATTGTATTTCAGGCTGACAAAGTTCAATACATTAATCACATAAAGGAAATCCCAACCAAAGAAGGACGCAACGCAGCAATGGCTTTATTCTGTCGGCAAACTCAAGAAGCTGAGACAATACTTTTACAAGCAGGCTTAATTTACAGGGCAATACAGCTTCATATTGATCTCTTTAACTGGGACAGGTAGTCATAAATCAACCGTCAGAATTTATTTTAGGTAGTTTAATACAATTGAGGTGTCTTTACATTTGTTCAAAAAGAGATGTACTTTGGTCCTATTGATTTGTTTGGTATTTTAWTACCAAGATTTAAAAATCTTATTGTATGTTTGTTATGATATTGAGTTATTGTTACTGCAGGGCCCTAGAGTTGGCTGTCAAGCATAAAACCCATGTGGATACTGTTCTYGCATTTCGACAGAAATGTCTGGAAAACTTTGGGCGCAAGGAAACAAACAAACGTTTCTTGCAATATGCTCAAGGGGTAAGTACTGAAAGGGAAAGTTACAGTTAAGAACTTGTCAGGTTCCAATAGAATTATCTTAAGAGACAATGGATGTTTGAGTTAATTTTGTGTACTACAATATTTTTTTAAATTTAAGGTTGAAGTTGACTGGGAGAAAGTCAATGCCAAAATAGAGATGGAGCTTCAGAAAGAGGCTTCCAGACCTGGAGCAAATCCTTACAATGGTTAAGTGTCCATAACAGTTCACTGTCATCAACACTCTTTCATTGAAGAGAGATCGTGGTTGAGTGTGCATATCTTCATTCTACTGTATTTAGTACATATATCTAGATATATTAGTACAGATGATTGCAGGCTCAGCCATTTTCTTGCTACCTTTAGAAGATTTGAACTSTATGTAAGAAGTAGACTACCAGTAGGCAACTTGATCTACAGCAACAACACATGCATTGCAACTGTATCAATGTTTTGAAGTTTGTTGGGATATGTTTTTTTTTCTGTAACAAATGTTCAATCAGTAAATCAATTCTATTCAGACAATTTGACAACAAAATCTGATCAATCACATATCTGGATTAAAAAGATTTTAAAGCTTTGTTGAATTAAGTCCACAGAAAAACCCAAAATTCTGAAAGTGCACCTCAAACTTCTATGTTACAGTATAAGGGTTTAGCTTTGCCTTCATTKTCTGTTGCTGCCTTTCACCACAACTTGGTGGACATTGTATAATAAAGGGTTGATCTTGTGAATAAAAACCATATTTATTACTACCATTTTACTTTTGATTTACCATATTATAGCAATGTACACAAACTACCTTTATTTATATTTAGTTCAGTGAACTATTACAGGTACCCTTATTGGTCAAATRAACACAAAAACATTTCAGTTTACTATATATGCTGAAAACCACTTCTCTTTAATATATCTTTATTTTCTTAAAATTTGCTACAAGCATTCTTATATATCTACATTATAATTTTACTGACCTAAGCAAAAATGCTACATTTATTTAATGTACAAGTTGTCACATAATTGTACAATAACTTATYTTATGTTGATGTACAACTTATTGTATTTACAGATATTTTAATCTATCAAAAGARATTTTATGGAGAAGTAACCCCTAATTCGTCCATTGATAAATTCTGTGCCCATTCATACAATTTGTCTCCTTCCTCTTCCCAATCATCACTTTCAAATAAATCATCATCCTTGACTCCCTTTGCTAGATCTGGAGTACTTCTGGGTGCACGCAAATCATTACCATCCTTCAACAATGTAAAGAAATGATCATAAATTCATTTTACTAAAATAATTTTAGTGATTTGATTCTCATACCATTGCACAGGGGTTTACTATCAAAATGGATTTCTGCTATTAACATTAATAATAACTGTCTCAAAAACAGTGGTAGAACCTTGAAAAATAAGCGTAATTGCAAGAATGCAACATTACTGCCAATAGCATTCACCTCTAGCTATTGGTTGTCATTGTCTCTGTTTTTGTGAGTCACTATGTGTTAGTGCATGGTACCTTTCATCAACCATGGCCAGATAGGAATCCCAAGACCACTCTGACTACTGTTTTTCATAATATAAGGGCAAATTATGACTGAATTTATGCAGAAGTATATTTACCTGTTTATATGGACTCTCCATTCCATACATCTTTCTCATTTTTTCTACTCTTTCCTTTGCTTTCCTTGACCTTCTGGCTGTAGCTTGACTACCAGTCAAGTCTATGTTCCTTTTTTGTCTGTTACAAAATAAATTTGTCAAACATCATGAACAACCAAAAAAAAGGGGGGCAGACACAAAATTGACAAAATTGACAAATCATAGGGTTAGAGATCTTACATGTATGGAATAACCCTTAAGCTACTACCTGTAGTGTGGTATTGCTTGTATTCTAGCAACTTGTACAGCCTGTGTTACTGGGTAAATGGTCAACAAGTCTGGATATTCTTCTGCTAGACGTGGGGTTGCCACTCCAGATGTCACAAAACTAAATATGTCATGTACTATGTTTTGTCTTGGAATAACTGCAAAGACAAGACAAACTTAATACAAATATTTACAAAGTAATTATATAGATTAAATATAATGTGACAAATTCTTACCATCTAATGTCAGTCTCCTCCATAAATTTGATTTTCCTCCCACTTCAGCTGGTGTTTCATCAAGATGACAAAGATACTGAAATAAGAAATCCACTATATATCATACAACATTACTGATGTTAAATAATCAAATATAATACATGAATAAATAACAACCATATACAGTATATTATACACCGGTGATTGCAAATAACATRAATGTTACCTTCATGTAATCTTTCATAGTTGTGATATCAATTTCATCTGTTATTTTGTCCTTTTCATGCTGGCACAAATCAGCCGTTAGCTGGTCATAGAATTTTCTGTTTCCCATAAGCTGTAAGGAATCACAAGCAGCCTGCGAAAGCAATAGTACATCCTCCTAGTATAAATGCAATCAGTTATGTGAGTTAGAGCACAGTGTTACTAACCTGTGAGGAGGGTTTTATTATTCTCTTTCCACTAATATACTTTAATCCTTGTCCTCCAGTATGAATGTAAACCTTGAATAAAATAATTGGTGGAAACTCTTCTCCTCCAAACCTGAAATGATTGGCATCAATCTAAGTACATCAGATTACAATTCACATACAATAATATTTTATGCTGACCTGAACCTTACTCTGGCTTGAACAGCTGGGTCTTTTAAAAGCTCAGCTTCAAGTGGAGAAACCTTTCTAAGCACTTCAAAGGTTAATGAATGTTCCTATAAAAAGTCAAAGCGTCATCATTAAAGGTTATTTATGCAATATTTGCCATTAGTTTTAATATTGGGACCTTCAATAAAATAGTCTATTGCGATCTATACTCACAGCRGCGCAGATAGCAAATTTAAGGAGTTTAAACATCTGTCTATCACGATAAGAACACCAGGCATTTTCGATTATCCTAGAAGCCTGTAATCTTGTTAAGCTAGAACAAAATGGAAATGATTTCTTACATCACTTGAAATCGATTAATGAAGCTGAAAACAACATCTACTATAAGAGTTTACCTCGATTGTRATGGCCGCTCATCTGCTTTATGCCCCATCATAGAATGTCTCGAATCTCCTAGCTGTGAACACTTGAATTGATGAATTTAGATTGTTTTTAAGGTTATATCCTTGAAAGTTCTATGGAATACAAAATTTTTTAGTCCGTCCACCATTATTTCCCACAATACCTGCCTGTTTTTTTCATAGCAACCTACAACGTTGCTAAGCTRATAACGATTGGTACTCAGTCTTCTACCGAGCCCGCGATATTATCTGGATAGCGGAGTGTTSAAGTGTTAAAAATGGCGGCCACGATGGTGGGAAAAGAGTTTTGGAAAAGATGGTTGAATTTTGGGAGGTGCGTGWAAAAAGTTATTTCTTTATATTGTTATTGTATTGTAGTCCGTGATATGAAGGTATGTCTGATATATTCTTTTTTGACAGGAGTCCCTTGTTTCGAGATGTAGTGAGGTCGATATCTACAGGTACATGAATTTGCTTCTTGACGATCCCTACACCTTAAAAAGTATTTTTTATACAACTAGACTCCAGGCAAAAAGACCATGAAATAAATTGTATTTTTATAGTATTCACACATGTCCTATCGTTACTTTAATAATCTTTTTAAAGATTTAAAAAGTCTTGATTCCTTATTTTTTAGAAAAATAAAGGAAAAAAAAAGAAATTTTTTATTTTATTCCTGTGCAATATATGTTATATAATATATTTGGTATATTACGCATTCTTGGATTGTGTGTTACTAGATGTACACACAAACAGATGATGCTATTCTTGTGCACTTTGATTGGTCAGAACAGGAGTGCACTGAAATTATTGTTTGTTCAACAGTTTCAAGGAAAACTTAGAGAAAAAATGTTGTATAAAAAATAGATGATTTAATTTTCCTGTGTGTCTGTACTCTAACAGATATACAGAAGACATCAAAATGCAATAAGAACAACTGTCACATCATTTGGCGCCGTCTCATTTGCAATGTATCTTAACAAATAAAATAAATAAAAGCCATAATGTTAAAGATGCATTGAAAAATGGAATCTATTTGTGAACTGATGCTTTTGTCTAATTTGATTTTTGGCAGTATCCTAGTATTGGGTGTGCATTCTAATGAAATTTTCTTTTCAACTAAGAAATTAAGCCAATTGACAAAGTACTGATTGCCAATCGTGGTGAAATTGCTTGCCGTATCATGCAGACTGCTAAGAAAATGGGTGTTAGGACAGTGGCAGTGTATAGTGATGCTGATAGTAATGCAAGACATGTTGAAATGGTTTGTAAAGACTTGACTGAAATAAATAAATTGTGAAGAGATAAGGTTGCTGTAAACCTAAGGCAAAGATATGTTGTTGTTTTTTACAAGGCACATTGTAACTTTAACTGAAAAAGTGAATGCCCAGTAAAAATTGGTTTCTTGAATACTTCTAGTAATAGCTAGCACATTTTTTAGGCTGATGAATGTTATCATATTGGAAAAGCTCCTTCAAGTGAAAGTTATCTTAAAATGGATAAGATCATAGAAGTAGCCAAGATGACTGGAGCTCAGGCRATTCACCCAGGATATGGATTCTTGTCAGAAAACCCAGAGTTTGCTGAACTGTGTGAAAAGGAAAATATAATTTTTATTGGTCCTCCTCCTTCAGCTATCCGTGATATGGGCATTAAAAGGTTAATTTTATGGCATTGACGACAAGTTTTTAATAGAAAAGTACTCATACATTATTGTTTTAGCACTTCAAAGTCAATCATGGGGGAAGCTGGAGTTCCAATAATACAAGGTTACCATGGCGAGGACCAATCAGATGAAAAACTCCGACAAGAGGCTGAAAGAATAGGGTAATTGATGTATAGAAAAGTCTGTGCAGCACTCATGTTAGGAGTTATTAGTGGAGTGAAGTCATT